CAAAAGCATTTCCTTTCCAGCTCCCACTATAAGCTTTCTTTTGGCATGAAATGCTCATTTTAAAAGTATTAAGCATCAGACTTTAGATGAGTTCTTACACTTGGCCACAAGCTATAGAAAAACTTCTGATTTTTTATGGTGTTATTATGTCAAGAGCTGTGCACAGAAGTCGTGAAAGTGCAGACATCAGCAACCTGCTCTCTCGCCTCTCTCCCTCTTCCTCAATCTGGTGCCAGGTTCACCAACTCTAAATGGTGGAGTTACCTGGGTACTGCCTGGTCACTGACTCATCTGACATCTTACATTAGTTGAGGCCATCTTGTCACTGTCAACACTAGCTTTTCCAATCATAATTATCTTCCCTTTTGCAGCACTTCCCTGATGAGGAAGGCACAAAGCGAAATCAGCAATCGAGTCAAGCTGGAACAAGGCAAGGAGGAACAGTCTTAAGGATCAGAGACTTTTAAGAGTATGGTTTAAATTGTTACCTTCACAGCAGTCATTTAATTTTATTCACATTCAGTCTAGCGCTTTCATTTTTCTTAAATCAAAATTGAGACTAATTCAAAGAAAAACTGGATTGAGTTTTTTTTTTAAAGATTTATCTATGCATACAGAGTTGGGGTACATGCCAACATGCCAGAAGTGTGGAGGGTGAGAGGGTTCACCAGAGACAGTGAGGAGCAGAACAGGCAGATGTACTGAAATACACTGCTGAGGAGAGCAGTGGGTCGGTCAGGAGAGGTCTGCTGCGCCATGTGGGTCACCCGCCTGGCTGGAGATCAAACTTACGCTGCAGTGGTTGTGATAGTTTCATAGTGCTGTACTTTAACCAGCTGCACCACCAGGGAGAGGCCCTGGATTGAGGTTTTTGACAGTAAATATCTGCCACAAGGAGTGCTTACCATACCTTACTTCATTCAGTCCTCACCATTCCACGTGTGAAAGACTATTAGAACAATGAATTGGCTTACAAGGCATAGGATCAGGAAAGAAATTTACTTCTTAATTCACCTACGCCTAAGCCATCTGAACATTTTGCTTTTACATTAATTATGTCATTTAGAGTAAAAAATTCCCTTTTTCCTGCCTTTTTGTTACTATGAAGGTGCCTCACTTTTTTCCTTTTCCTAACAAACCTGACCTTTTAAAGGTATTAGATAAAAATGGCCCGGGTCTCCTTTTCAGTTTTAATCCAAAACTTCCCTATGCATATATATTGTTAGCACACTATCCTACAGAACTCTCTTAACCAATTTATCTGGCAATATACTAGCTAGCCTACTGTCCAATGAGGGGGGCAACACTTTGCTCTCCCTCTCAGTGAAGATGGGTGTTTAACAGGGAGTCAGCTGTGCTTGTCAGTTGTGTTATGTCAGTAAATATATAGCTGTGTCAAATATTAAAGAACTGAAGCATAAATGACAAGAGAAACAACAGCAGCAGCTAACACTGGCACTTATTCCTGCTAGCCACTGTTCCAAGTACTTCACATGAATTAACTCATATAAGCTTCACAAGAACCTTAGGAACAGGATATATTATTGTCTCTATTTTACAAAGGAAGAAACTGAGCAACTTGCCAAGGCTTGTACAACAATAAATGGTAAAGCAATTTGGCTCCACAACTTAAGAATATAACTATTACACGATGCAGCTTCTCCAGTCTTTGTTTCTTTGAAAACCAAGCTGAAATCTTTGGAAAAACTAGATAAAGAGGAGTCACACAGATTATACAACTACTCAACAATGCCTTGTCAGGTGAAAGCAGTCATAGACAATATGTAACAAATAAGTGTGGCTATGTTCCAAAAGCTGACAAACGACTAGGACAAGATTTGACCCTTATGCTATGGTTTGCAGATTCCTGAGACCCCACACTCCAAGAAAAGGCTTATGTTGAAAGAATGACAAAAGGATGCCCATGTTTTAAGTTAAATAAAATGTCTGTCATGTTTCTTTATATTTCACATGCGCATGAAATCATACTGTATTTGTCTTTATCTGACTCATTTCCATGCTGTTGCAAATAGCAAGATTTCCAATCAGACACACAGACCAGACTGGTGGTAACCAGCAGAGGAGGGGTGGGGGGAGCAGGCACAGTATAATATGTAAAGGAAATAGATTGTATCGTGATGAATGGAAACGAGATTTTTGGTGATCAAGTTATAGTGTATACAGATGTTGAATTATGAAGGTGTGTACACCTGAAATTTATGACATGCTAAAAAGCAAGTTTATCATAACAAAATTTAGAAAAAGGAAGTTTTAAAAGTGTTCAAGTTTGCGTGAGTTTAATATCTGTGTTAACTTACTTTTTCAGTTAAACTCCTGGCGCTAATTGCATCAGATAAGAGGTAAACCCATGTAAAATCTCTGTGCCCTCTTTCCTGCCTTTGTGCTTTTGCCAAAGCCACCTCCTCAACCTGGAACCTTACTTTCCCACTTCCACTTGGATTCCCACTCATCTGGTTAATCTTCAGGAAGTCAAACATTTATAATTACATCTAAAAGCCACGTACTTAAGCAAAACAATGAAAAATACTTAAACTTGAAATCAGGGTTTGCCTCAGAGTTTTACAGTCCCAGCAGTACATGGAAATGCTGGGGTATAATCCAATCCTTTCAAAGAATTTAGGGAGCCTTGGCCCAAGGTAAGAGCAAGTCAGTAGGCCCCTGGTGGGAATTGTTTTCCTGATTCCCAGGTCAATATTCTAATTCAGGAAGAGAGTAGCTTTTTAGATAGATCCAAGCTGCAAGTTTAAGGCCTGAAATAAGACTATGAGGATTACATTTACCATCTCCCCTTCCTCAAGTCACTAGTCAGAAGGAGCAGTTGTGGTCCCCTAATGGTGATCTTGGTATGCAGATTTATGGTGTCCTAATTACCAACAGGGCTGGTCCAGATTTTAGGAATCCTTCTTATCTCATCCCCATTCAAGAATACAAGATAAGTGTTCAAATGATCTCCTAGCATCTTTTTAAAACACCACTCACGGGTTTCAGCGATGGAGTGACAAGACTAGTATGGGGAAGAGTTGGAATGAGAGGTAGCCAAATTCACACTCTAAACAGAGCTACTGCAATAGGTTCCTGTTCTGGGGCTTAGATTCCAGTTGCATCATTTAACACTGTCAGCATCATGGCTTTAATCATCTTAATCCATAAAATAAATGCAGGAAACACACAAAAGGTCTATCCTTCAGTTTAACAGAGGAAAACTTTGCTAACAAAAAATAGCTTTTGTAGCTATTGATTCCCCTTTACCCCTCTCTAAAATCATCTTCAATTAACAGAGACACTAAGCAACCCATATAGTTCACAGCTAATATAGTACTTTAACCTTCCTGGCAGCTACCTACAAAAGCTAAGAGCCATAGCTGTAAGAAAATTAAGAAATTAAGGAAGAAGCACATATTTCACTACTCAATATAACTAAGAATAAGAATTCATTGAGCAAGAAGGCATAGTTACCGTTGACACAGGAGATATCAAGGTGAATTAAAACAGTCCCTACCCTTGAGGGGGATTACAATGTAGTCAAAGGATACAAACAAGAGGCCAACCTCAGTGTCAAATGGGTTGGGCTGACTGTGGGTCCTCACCAGCACCCGTAAGACTCAAGTGAAGGCACGCACAGAAAGATTAATAAAGGTTTTATTTACAAAAGGGGAAATGAAGAAATGAATAATAACTCAGGGAGAAAGAGAAACTGGTGAAAGCATCCTACCACTTCTGCTCAGCTGGAACCCTAATAATACTCTGAAAGCCAGCAAAAAACCAAGGACCCCTAAGGCCCACATGTCTGGTTATATAGCAAACCTTGCTGCTTAAATCCACTCTCAGTTCCCAGCAATCCTCTCTTTGTGGGTGATGACATTATGGGATTTGTAATCCTTGGTGTCTTGGATCTCTGATCTGGAGGAGGGTCCATAAACCAATCTGTGGAATTTGTTCAGGACACCCTTACCCCTCAATAGAATGGCGATAGATAGAAGTGCCAAGAGGTATGCAAATCTCAGAAGGAGCCATCAATCACTTCAATTTCAAGCTAGCAGATTAAAACATTCAGGTAAGGGACACTTGTAACAAACAGAGAAATCCTTAGGGAAAGAACTCCAGTGAGACCTATGGAAAGAATAGGGTGTTATCTGCTTATCCATACCCAGGCTAAGCCAGACCTACTTGGAAACTTTACCAAGAATTATACCAGGTTACCAAAGAAATACTTATGTAAAATACAGAACAGTGGACACTGGAAGCAGGGCAGTAGGTAGCAACTGATATTGACTTAGGTCTGTGGCAGGAAGCCTAAGCAAAACCCAGGACCAGGCTGAACCTGGGGATTTTCCTCATTTCCATCACCCACTAGAATGTCCCAGCTCTCCGGCACCTCACCTGCACAGATGGACCCTGGAGAGAGGATTACTCTCACAGTGTATGCCGGTGTAGGTATAACCACACTGTAGGAGCACATGGCCCGAAGGAAGCCATCAACCCTTCACCCATCAGCTGCTCACTCAGTCCTGAATCAAAGACTCCAGTCCCCATCCTTCCTTTACTCAATGTGACTTTGGAGTAAACAACTCAAGTGCTGAGTTCCTTCATTTCTGTGAATGCTGGGACTTCCAAGGAGACTGGGACTGGATCTGGGACCTCGGAGATCTAAAAGTCGACGCATACAAACACTAAACCAATGCCCCGTAGAATAAAAAAAATACACATAAATGAGCAAATGAGCGGTAGGGGCTTTGGGACCGTTTTGTCGACGGGAATCGGAGCCACCACGCAGCCCGCCCCAAGGTCACTCCAGGTGTGTCACTGGAGTGGACGAGCGGAACGCTCAAGTCACCCGAATGCCATTCCCAGGCCCTTTCTCCTGACGCCGCGTAAAGACCAGCAGCGCCGAGACGAGCAGCGCGAAGGGTCCACGTCCCAGAGGGGGAAGGACGACGCCCACGTCAGGGTCGCGAGAGGGGGCGGGAGAGAGACCTTACCTTCTTAGCTCGAGTCCGGCCCCCGGCGCCTGCCTCTCAGAACCTTACTCCGTCACCCCCACAAGACTCTCCGGAGCCCCCTCCACTTCTGCCCTGCTTGACGTGTCCACCACCGCCACCTAGGCCAGGCGCTTCCCGCCCCTGCCCCGCCCCCTGCCTCACTAGCCAATCCCTAAGCAGGATTTCCAAGCCCCCGCAGGTTACGTCGCCTCAGCGGGCCCGAGGGGGTCTACGTCACGCGCCGCGCGTGCCCGAGAGGCCCTACGTCACGCGCCGCGCGTGCCCGAGAGGCCCTCCCCTTTGCCTTTTCCCCACCTTCTCCCGGGGGGCGGGGAGGCGGCTGCTCGCGGCCAAGCAGCCTTGCGGGAGTTCGTCCTGCCGGAAAGCAGCCCGCCGCCACGGCATTTCACGACGTGGCCGTGAAAGACCCTGGAAACACTCGGACTTCCTTCCCGCAGCCGGGTGGAACCCTGCGCGATGTTCGGTGCGGGCGACGAGGATGACACTGATTTTCTCTCGCCCAGTGGCGGGTGAGTGATCGAGAAGCTTGGGCTGGAGAGCTGGGCAGGTAGTTGGAGGGGGCTCGATTGATTCTCGACCTCTCCGCAACTTCCGGGTCCGGATCCTGACAACAATCCGGTGCTCTCCATCCCTCGGAATCCAGGCACAGCTCGAAAGTGTTGAGTCTGACACTGGATTCTGGACCTGGCATCTCCCTTACACACACTGGGACCCTGGTGTTCACCGTTTGCTTTCTGGGTCATAATTTGTCCTGTGAAATGGGGGTGATTATTAACGGGAATCTCTGAGTTTTTATAGGAGTTTTTATTGTAGTCACTGGGATCGATATAAGACTTTTCTGCGTAGACAAGCGGTAACGCAGAGAATCATCATTCCTCACGGCCCAGATCGAAAACTAGAACTTTCCCTTCTCCCACGACCACTCTTCTCTGTCTAGCGCCTGGCACTGTTACCGGCACATAGTGAGTGCGCAGGAGGAGCTTGTTCAATGAATAACCACCATGAACTCGGCTGCATGGAAGTTGCACGCTAATGCTCAACTTAAAAAACCAAGGTCTCCATTCCTTGCCCCCAGCCATATAGAGTGACTTGGGATACAACTCATACAGGAGCAGGACTTTGTTTTATTCAGTAATCAGCTTAGTCTTTTCCCTTGTGTTGTTAGAGGACAGCTAGACTCCCTTCTGTGTGTGAGTTGCCAAGGTCTGATGCTTGAAGAATCTTTCACTGAACGTTTGTTTAGGAATGACAAATATGCCAACATATGCCCATCATTCAGGTAAAGTCTTAAGATTTACAAAGATGACTAAGCTATTGTGCCTGCCCTCAGGTGGCTTCCAGTCTTGTTGGAGAGTTCACTACATGGATGACCATCTAATGATACTGGTTATCTTTTGGTCTTACATGGGATCTTTTCACACTGAGATTGATTGGTTACCTACTTTGAAGTCCTTTTTTTTTTTTTTTTTTTTAAGATTTATTCATTTGTACATACAGAACTGGGGTACAGGCCAGAGGCTCAGGGGCGGTGAGAGGCTTCACCAGAGACAGAGCTGGGAGCAGAACAGGCAGATCGACGAAGTACACTGCTGAGGGGAGCAGCGGGCTGGTCTGGAGAGGTCTGTCACCATGTGGTCACCTCCGGGGGCAGGCCAGGATCGAACTCATGCAGAAGTGGCTTTAGCTTCTCAGTGCAGTGCTTTAACCCGCTGCGCCACCAGGGAGGGCCTGAAGTCCTTTTTACTTTTATCACCCTATGTCACCCTTGCCCCCACTTAGTTCTACTTTGGGTTCTTTTCAGTTGCTTGAGTTTCTTAGAGTTAAGACGTGCTTTAGTTCCTTTTTTCCCTGTTCCTCCCAAAATATTCACTAAAATTTCCACAAAGACTGTGCCTTTGATGTCCATGTTTTTTTCTTCTAAGCTTATTATGCATATGCATGTACCTTTTAAAAGTTTTCAAGATGTGCTTTAAATTCGCATTCTTTACTAGGTCAAAATGTCAACATTTGGAGGAAGTATGTAAAGGGATTTTATCACTCCCAAATTCCATGCAACAAGCAGTCCACTGAAAAGACAGTGGAGATAACAGTTATGCACTCTTCCAGATTCCTGACCTGAGATAAATTCTTGGTGGCTCAATTGCTGCGGTCTGGATAGCAGGCTCATAAAGGATCCTCACTTTTAGCTCTAGGCATGTGACAACGCACCTTTTCATACACAATAGCAAGTTGAATGAAAAAAGCCTCAGTGAACAAGGTTCTACAGGTAATTTTTTTTTACCCCAGTAATAACCATGAAAACCAAGTCAAATTTATGATTGAGAATGTAGGAAGTTTGACTGACATTCTCTGATTCAGCTACTTTGGTTTTCTTAAAGGAAGTACCGCATATGACAGTGAACATTGTGTCTGCTTTTCAGTTCCTCTTTTACAACTGTAATTTCCTTTAAATATACTTGTTTATTAATTTTTAAGCATCTTGTCTTAAACATGTAAATATATGACTTACTAAATTCCACTTAAGGTAGTCAGATTTACCAGAGGTGGGAGTATTAGTGCCTTCCAAATTTCCAGGTCTCTTAAAATTCATGGTTAACCTAAAAGTAGTAATTAGGAGACTTAAACGTTTTATTTATTTTAATCCCCCCCACCATTGTGACTTTGAAATGGAGAAATGTGTAAATGCCTATGAATTGCATGGCTTCAGTGAATACAGATAGGAATGAAGTGCAGTTCCTGCCCCTAAGAAACTTCCAGTCAGTGTTAGAATAAAATTAATTCAGTAATCATAATCACAAAGCATTTTTAAGGGATGTTTTATGTGTGTGTGCGTATGTGTGTGTATATATATATATTGTATATATATATTTGTGTTTTAGACTATGTAAAATGTTTGTGTAGGCAAATCTCATTAGTACAATAATGACAAATCAGTGTAGAAGGTAGAAGAAAAATCAATCTGGAACTGATTATTAGAGGCATTTTAGTTTCTGTAAAAGATGTAAAAGCTTAGATTCTAATGTTGATTCAGCTCTCCATTAGGAATGTGACTTTGGACAAATCACTCCCCATTCTTTGACTTCCACAAGCCAGTCTCTTAAATAATGGGGTTTACCCTTGATGATCTGTTAGATCTTCCCAAGATCTATGGTTTGTGTTTATTAGTATCAGTTTATAGTTGCGGGTCAGTTTGTGCACTGATTACTTACTTTCTTTCTTAGAGGGGTAACTGAGTTGAATTGACATTTTAAGGGAGTAGGATGTGTGCTTATGTTTATGAAACATGCACTACTTATTCAGTGCTAGGCACTGTACTGATATCTATACATTGCAGTATTTACTTCTCTATACTGTGCAATGTGAAATTAAGATACAGAGAGACAAGTTGCCCAACATCATACGGCTAGAAAGTAAAAGAGCCTGGTTTTGAAATCAGGCAGATTCCCACCACACCTCCCTTATGTGCTGTTTTTACTATTATTATAGGGTAAATGTTTGATGCTATGGTTTATAAAAGAATTACTTCAATAGCAATTACTTCAATAGCAAAAGAATCCCTCATTAAAATTAAAACTGATATACCATAAATATAGGTGGTAGTGTCTTTGATGAAAAAAGTAGTATGAAACTAAGGTTAGGTAAACAATGCATTACCTATCATTTATTGTTTAAATGTAAATAATGCTACAATGACTTTTCCCATACAGACTCAGGTCCTTCCCTGCTAATGTAGTTAAGGACACTATATACACTTGGGACACTTAGAATTGGAAACATGGGGCCTCCCTGAGGGCACAATGGGTGAAGTCTCAGCACCATGAAAAATTTGCAGCCATTGTAGCATGAGTTTGATCCCCCGCCAGGGAGCTGACCCACATGGCGCAGCATATCACCCCTATCTTCCTGCTGCTCCCCTCAGTGGTGTATTTCAATGGATCTACCTGTTCTGCTCCCCACTCTTTCTCTGGTGAATCTTCTCACCCTTCCCCGCCCCACCCCATAACCTCTGGCTTGCATCCCAGTTCTTATATATATAAATAAATGAATCTTTAAAAAGAAATGAAAAACTGTAGGGCCTTCCTGGTGGCGCAGCGGGTTGAAGCACAGTATTAAAGAGGCTAAAGCCACTTCAGCATGAGTTTGATTCCCGCCCTGGAGATGATGATTCACATGGCGTAGCAGACCACTCCTGATCCGCCCACTGCTCCCCTCAGCACTGTACCTTGTCGATCTGCCTGTTCTGCTCCCCACTCTGTCTCTGGTGAAGCCTCTCACCGTCCCTGCACCTCTGGCCTGTACCCTGGTTCTATATGCATAAATAAATAAATACTGAAAAAAAAAAGGAAAAATGTAATAATTTATAAGAAATTAATGCCTTTAAGGCTATATAGAGTTCATTTAAAGATATTAATAATATGAAATAAGATTTTGGCTAACCTTTTTTTTGGATTGATTTTGGTATATATGGGAACTTAGCACAAGTTTGACACATAGTGCTTAGATGAGTTGAAGTGTAGATCTTTATGAAAACTTCTAGGGAGGTCATCTAACCTAGACTTCCAGAAGAGAGGATTCACACGAAGAATGTTTCAGGCAGAGGAAACAGCGTCTTTGAAGCCTGAAGATTCAAAAGAGCTTGCCTAATTTGAGACACTGAAAACTCCTCATTGCAGAGACAAGGCCAGATAGGAAGCTGGGGAAGTGTGCAGAAGCGAGGTTTTTGAAGAACCTTGTGATGCTGTACAGTTTGGATTTTTCCCTTGGTAATATTGAGGCATTGAGAGGTTTTTCTTTTTTTTTAAAGATTTATTTATTTATGTGTACAGAACTCAGGTACAGACTGGGGTACAGAGGTGTGTGTGGGGTGAGAGAATTCACCAGAAACTGAGTGGGGAGCAGCAGCGGGTCAGGAGAGATCTGTCATGCCATGTGAGTCACCTCCCTGGCCAGGGATTGAACTCATGGTGGCTGTAATAGGTTCATAGTGCTGTCCTTTAAATCCATTGCACCACCAGGGAGGGCCCATTGTTGAAAGTTTTAAGAAGGAAAGAGACTTGGTCAAATTTGACTTTTAGAAAGGTCACTGGGTCTAGTGGGGAGAAAGGATAAGAAGTGGCAAAACCCCAGAAGGGATGCTGGTCAGGAGATTGTAGTAGTCATTCAAGCTAGATAGATAAGATGGTTATCAGTGATTGGCCCCATCACGGTTTGTTGGGGGGGCAGAACAGGCAGGGTCTTAAGGTGGGAGTGGCGTCAGCAAGCGGAGATTCCTAAAGGGGAGTTGGGAGCAAGTCTTCCTGTTCTGGTCTCAGCAGAAGTTTATTTTATACATTACAAGTAGGCAGTGGAAATAACATCAGCACATGAATTGGGCTGAGAGATCACAGTCATCTTTTTTTTTCCTAAGAACAGTTTGGGGTCGTATTAACTTTCAGCTGAGATTATAACATTATTCTTAAAATCAGTCTATTAAAGTTAAGACAGGTACATAAATTCATAAAATTTAAGACCAACATTGTTATATTTACCACAGTGATGATTAGCTAAAATAAAGTCCCTTACACCCTAATTACTACTTAATGACCTTCACTGTCATTGAGACATTTTAGAGGGTAAAGGAAAGTTGAGGGTTAGGGTGGAGGCTAGAGTGGAGATGTGAAAGGGTAAAGTAAGGTCATGGGCTAGGGTGGAGGAGTTTTCTTGTAGATAAAGAAGATAGTAAGGGAGATAGTAAGATTCCTCATTTAAAAACTAAGCAATAGAAAGCTTAAGTGAGTAGAGTGATAAGATTTGGGTTCTCCTCTGGACTGTAAAAGAACTCTGATTTTTTTTTCAATTTTATAATAGTTTGTTTTTACATATTTTTGTGCATTTTTCCATCTCAGTTGCAATCCCCCTGGTTTCCAATCACCAAATCACTCATGTGCCATCACCATAGTCCAGTGCATTTCTCTTTCCCCACTGTTTCTGATCCCATTCCTCACTCTACCCCCACAAAATATCTCATTATCATTTTCTCGCCTGTTCCATTATATTCCTGCTACGAGAGAAACCATCTGGTATTTTTCCTTTTCTTTCTGGCTTATTTCACTAAGAATGATCTTTTCCAGCTCCATCCATGTTTCTGCAAAAGACATGTGTTTCTTTTGGTTGCTGAATAATATTCCATTGTGTATATGTACCATATCTTTAATCCAGTCATCCATTTTTGGGCATTTGGGCTGTTTCCATGTCTTTCCAGTTGTGAATAAAGCAGCAATAAACATGGGGGTGCAGGTATCTTTCTGAATCAGTGTTTTTGTGTCTTTTGGGTAGATACCTAGGAGTGGGATTGCTGGGTCATAGGAAAGCTCCATGTTTAGCAGTTTGAGAAACCTTCAAACAGTTTTTCATAGTGGTTGTACTAGTTAGCATTCCAACAAACTCTGATTATTTTTTAACATGTTCTAGTACTGCCTTGTCTTACGATATTGATTTTGTTATAACAGCCAATTGTTTTTATTAGTCAGCCAGTTGTAATATTATTTTTGATTTCAAGAGGAATTTCCCATCCTGGGGCAGCGCTTGCTTGCCTGGGCAGGCAGCGCCTTATGAGGCTAAGGCAATCCAGTAGTAAGCTGATGGTTGCTCCAGAATATTTTAATGATTATACAAAAAAGGGAGGTCATAACATAAGTTAGCATGGAAATTCTGATTTTTCAGAGCATTTCCCCTCCATTCAGATTTTGTCTGGAGACAGAATTTGCATATTCTGTGTCAGATGGTCTCCTGAGCAGGGGAAGTTGCAAAGTGGATGGGGAGAAGTAAATAGACCTGAGAAATATTCAGCAGTTAAAATGGATTTGGGAATTAGCCATGGACATTGGGGAGAAAGTCAAGGTAGCTCAGACTTCAGATTTAATGGTAGATGTTTGCAGTGAGTTTATACACTAGATCTGAGACTGTTCCGAGAAAGTCCTGCCTACTAGGTTGGCACTTGACTGGCATCTGGGAACTTGATTGGTAAAGTTTCACACACTGATACAAAGCTTTCTGTAAGAGATAAGAGTAGCTCATTGTATCTAAACTATTTGTACAAATAATATGGCTTATACTGAATAGCTGTTTTTCCTTTGGGAGTATTTAGTACATGCTGGAAGTTTTTTTTTAAAAGATTTATTTATTCATACAGACTGGGATACAAGCCATAGGTGCAGGGCGGTAAGAGGCTTCACCAGAGACAGTGGGGAGCAGAACAGGCAGACTGACAAAGTACACTGCTGAGTGGAGCAGTGGGCGGGTCAGGGGAGCACATGCCACATCATGTGGGTCTCCTCTGAGGAGGGGATCAAAGTCATGCTGAAGTGGCTTTCACTTCTTAGTGCTGTGCTTTAACCCACTGCGCCACCAGGGAGGGCCTGTTCTGGAAGATTTTAATGTGTCTAGCCCCTAACAAAGAAAAAATCTTGGATATTGAATCTCTAGGATGTTCCCTGACAGATCATACTTCACTCACCACAGTTCGTTGCAGGAGGAATTAGGCATGTCCTGTGCAGTTCCATTGGGAGAGGAACCTTGGAAGCTTCCTTCTGGTTTCCTCTGATCTTTGCCCCATGCTCCAGTGTTCCCTTTGCTGATTTTGCTGTCATCCTTTCATTGCAGTAGGTCTTGGCTGTGAGTACGACTAGATGCTGAGTCCAGTGAGCCCTTCTAGTGAGTCACTGGATCTAGGGACCCAGATACAATATGTTACTCACTGAAAAGAGGAAACACAAGGGGAAGAACAGGTTTTCACCTGCGAGTAGAGGATATGATGGCTTGGCCACTGGCAGTTGTGTTGTCTGCGGAGTATCTGCAGAATGTGCCTAATTGCCTGTGGAATATGCCTCATTCACAGGAGCAAACCCTGAGCTGAGAAGACACATTTGAGCGTCAGCTTTTGGGTAGCACTTGTTATTAATATTAAGGTAAATAATTGAGGCTGCCAAGGCAGAAAGAATGTGCCATTTTGGGGACATGGACATTTAAAAGATAGACCTGAGTAAATTAGGAGTGGGATAGAGGGGCATCCCATTAGAATTTACTGATGTCTTATTTGGGCTAGCCCCTCTTCCCACCTCGGTAGGGCTTCTGAAGGTATTTCAAGGAAAGAGTTTGTTTGAAGACAAAGTAGTTATCTTATTTGGCCTTCATGCCGAACAAATAAGGACTATTTAGTAACAAAAGACTGCTGTTGGTGACCTTAGCTAGAGCAGTTTCAGTGGAATGGTTGGGACATAGGAACCATTGCAAAGGAGATGAAAGAATGTTTCTGTTTCCTTCCTTGTGATAGATAAGACCATGTATGGTGGCGTGAGTTTACAGTACAGTTTTATTTCAGGTTAGTCAACTAGTAGTGGTTAAGAATTTACAGTTTAAAAATAACCAGTGGCAGCATCTGGACCAGTCATTTCAATTTACAGAAGCTGAAACTGAGGTCCATAAGGGAAATGACCAAAGCCCTGTGAAGGATAAGTCAACTGATGCTGTTCAGAGCAGAAAGTCAGTCATGATTTCAAAGACACATAGCTGCTGCTTCCAGTATTGAACAGTAGGCGATATGATCAAAGATATATTTATACAAGATTGAGGTGAACAGCTTTTATGATGGTTCCAGGTTTGAGCAATGTCAAATGAAATTCCTTTTCCTCTTCTGTTGACAGTGCCAGATTGGCTTCTCTTTTTGGACTGGATCAGGCAGCTGCTGGCCATGGAAATGAATTCTTCCAGTTTACAGCCCCAAAGCAGCCTAAGAAAGGCCAGGGAACGGCACCAGCAGGTAAGAGGTTAGACTGAGGTTGTTATCAAGTTACTACAGTTGAATGGTTGTAATATATACCATATGGCCCATAAAGTCTAAAATATTTATGACTTGGCCCTTTATAGAAATTTGTTTGCGACCCCTGCTCTAACTTTACCTGTCACTTTGGACAGTTTTGCCACATGTGGGTGCTGGTCCTGTTCTGCAGGTCATAGCCTGGGCAGATTTCTAGTAAGCTCTGCCTTTATATTTTCCTGGTACAACACACACAAAGAAGTATCAGTAGTGTGCTTCTTTTTGATTTTAAAATGTTTGAGTTAGTGGGTGTGAATAACCATACGAAATTTAACTTTATTTTTAAAAAAATCAGAAAATAGCAACTACCATGAAATCATTATACTTTTATTATTAGTTTGTATAATGTTTTTTTATACATCATTTTGTATACATTTTTTCATCTCAATTGTAATCCCCATGTGTTTCCCATCACCAAGTCACCCATGTGCCATCACCATACTTTTACTATTTTTAAAAAGATTTTTATTTATGCATGCAGAACTGGGGTACAGGTCAGAGGTGCAGGGGCGGTGAGAGGATTCATCAGAGATAGAGAGGGAGCAGAACAGGCCGACTGATGAAGTACATTGCTGAGGGGAGCAGCAGGCAGGTTAGGAGAGGTCTGCCGCACCATGTGGATCACCTCCGGGGCCAGGAATCTAACTCACACTGAAGCGGCTGCAGTGCTGTGTCCTAACCTGCCCCGGAGGTGACCACATGGTGTGGCAGACCTCTCCTGACCCGCCCGCTGCTCCCCTCAGCAGTGTACTTCGTCAGTCGGCCTGTTCTGCTCCCCACTCTGTCTCTGGTGAAGCCTCTCACCGCCCCTGAGCCTCTGGCCTGTATCCCAGTTCTGTATGCACAAATAAATAAATCTTTTTTTAAAAAAAAAAGTAAAATCCACAACTCTGCACAATTTCTTATTTGATTAAAAAAAAGTTCAGGAAACCAAGTGTCACATAAAAATGAACAGTATGGAAGTGTCAAACTCTGTGTTTATAAGGACAGTGAGCACAAGGAACAGTACAATATCTGCAGACAACGTGAGTCCTATCTCACTGAGAATGTTTCCTACTGAATAGGTCAAATGACAGCTACTAGCTATTAATGTCAGGAAGATAACATATGAAATGAGCATTAGAAATTCCCAGAAGTGAGAGGCAAGAATTAGCAATGAATGAAAAATTATTTCAGAAATGAGGACTAAGCTAGAAGGAACTCAGGCATGAAGAGACAAAATAGGCTCTGCCTTAGGAAACAGAAGGTTAACAGGAAGAAATTTTTTTTTAAGTGATAAAAAAGATTGAAAAGAAAGTGACAAATAATAAAGGTGTCAAAGAAGATTCAATATCAGAAAAATATATATTCCTGAAACTGAAAACAAAAGCAGGAGGAAATGAACCAATACTAAAGGCTGTCATTCAAGAAAACTGTGTGTGCGGAAAAAAAAATTAGAAATTGCATATTAGAAGAAGCTCATGATTTGGGAATTCAAGAATGAGAACATACTGATTTCAAAAAGACAGGAAGGCTGTGCCAGTGAGACGATCACATGAGTGTGGTGCCTGACCGCCCTATCCTTCTGGCATATCCTTGAACACTCCTGTCTTCCAGGATAAGGCAGGGAGCAAGGAGTGCACTGGGAGACGTTTTCTACTGTGTATATGTAGTCTGTTACTAAAAAAATTAATACTGTTAAAAAGCAAAATTCAGTATCTCATTGGTTTTTAATATCTCACTGGTTTTCTTCAAAACTCACAAACCTGCAACAACCCCATGTAGCAGATAGCAAGGAGCTCTGAGGAGCTGTAGAAGCCTGTAGCAGAAGGGGTAGGGAAGAAGAAAGACACTAGGCAACAGAGCAGGCTGATCAGTGTGAGATTCCCCTGCTTCAGGGAGGGTAGGTCGGTTGGCCACTACCCGCTGCTGATGAGGCAGTACTCGATTGGCTTGACACCCCGTTTTCGGGAGAGGCAAAATGAAGGTAAATCTCAGTCTGGCGTGAAGGGTTGGGGTGGCGACAGGGCTTAAGATGAAAACCTTCATTTGGGGGCGGCTTGTTGCCTAACTTTTAACAATACAAAAAAATATATATGGATACTTTCGAAACAAGGCTTTGGTTGCCTAGTTTCCTCATCCCCAGGCAAGGTCATACTGATGACCGGTCATACTCTGATGACCGATAACAGTCAAGAAAGTGTTTATCATGAAAGCACAAGAAGAATTTTGAAACTGGTTTAATGGTTAGAAGTCAGTTTGCAGTCCAGAGTAACAGCTTTCTTTTCTTCATTCAGGAAATCAGGCTGCACCGAAAGCCACGCCCGCCACAGCAGGCACTTCCACAGTCCTGGTTGCAACAGCAGTGCACGCTTACCTGTAGTAAGTGGTGGACAGGGGATGCTTTTCAGTAAACTCAGATCCCGTGTCCAGTAAGCCTTTGTTCTTTGCAAAATGGCCACTCAGTCCTTTCATAGACAAGTATCAGTAATGCTTTTTAGCATTTCATTTATTCACAGTTCTGTACATAAAGTTTTGAGGAGCCATTATCATCTCTGTTGGAAAGTTCTTACCCCTCAACTCCTTCCTACCTTTTTTAGTGCTCAAAGAAAGCTACTCCACTGAGATAGCATGACAATAGATGTTTCTAGAATGAAGAAGTTGTAAAAGCTTTATTATAAACTGCTCACCTTCAGTGCCTTTCTGTAGGCTAAACTACTTCCCCTCTTCTATATGGCAGAAAAGGAAGCTGGTTGTTTAATTTAAGGAAGTGTTAATGTGTGTTGTTTTTCTTGCTTCTCAAGCACAAACGGTCAATATTTAAAGCAGGGCAAGTTTGGTGCTGCAGTCCTGGGGAATCACACAGCCAGAGAGGTAAGAATTGGCTCTTTGTTCCATGTATATTCAATCATATTAATGAGCTGGTTTTCATTTGGCTTGCCCAATGCCTCATGTATCAGATGACTGAAATTATTGCATTTAATGTGATTTTTCTGATGTTAGGTATATAGTACCTCTTAGAACTGCATTTTATTACTGTGCATTAAAACATCCAGCCACTCAGAATCTCTAAGCTTGATCTTTGTGATAAGGCCCTCACTTAAGAATCTGGCAAATTTTAGAGTAAACCATTTATCAAGGACAGCCCTTTCTTAGGTAAAGTTGAGACTTATTGTATCTCTGTACCTGCCTAATGACCAGGGTTTAGCCTTCAAAAGTTTGATTATAAAACATGCAATGGATCACACAGTATTGTATGATTTGGGTAAAAAAAATATGGCTAGAAACATCAAGACTGGAAATCTTGCTTCAAATTCTATTCCAGAAGGTTTGAACATTGTAGGAATCAATACAAGACATTATAAAATTTCAGAGTCCAGAGAGCGTGAAGTTCATACTTCTCAGAGACTTTTTAGTCACAGAAGTAAGATGATCATCCAAGTGCTAAGTAGGAGACAGCACTCACTGGTATTCAAGGAGATAAACAAAAAACTTAGTTATGGAAAATTGGAAAGCTATAAAAATAGTAAAATTAGGCCCCCCCTGGCGGCACAGCGGGTTAAAGCACAGCACTAAGAAGCTAAAGCCACTTCCGCATGAGTTCAATTCCCACCTGCCCGGAAAGTGACCGCATGGCGTGGCAGACCTCTCCTGACCTGCCCGCTGCTCCCCTCAGCAGTGTGCTTCGTCAATCTGCCTGTTCTGCTCCCCACTCTGTCTCTGGTGAATCTTCTCGCAGCCCCTGAGCCTCTGGCCTGTACCCCAGTTCTGTAAGCACAAATAAATAAATCTTTAAAAAAAAATAGTAAAATTAGAATAACAAACCTTCAAATATCCATTACTAGGGTTTAACAGTTATTAATCTTACTTCATCTGAACCCCAGTCTGTCCTCTTCCCCTACTCATATTATTTTGCTTGAATTCCAGCATGCAATCTTAGCTGGAAATATTTCAGCATGTGTTTTTAGAAGATAAATTTTAACATAGCCATTATGCAGTGATCACATCTTAAAAACCCCGCAGTACTTCTTTAATCTAATTTACTATTAGTGTTCCAATTTCCTTGATCATTTAAACATGTTTTTCACAATTTATATCAGTCAGTATTGCATTTGGTCACTCTGTCCCTTACTTAAATCTTTCATTTCCTTTCCAATAGAAAATAATGTGGTTTTGTCTCATTTTGTTATGCAACCAACTATCTTTGGTTATTATCTAGACTTATAGGTTCATTAAAACTTTACAAATCTGGTATTGGGACTTCTGCAGATAAATTGTAAAAATTATATATATTAAAATTCATTGGACAGTTGTGGAAATGGGGGCTAGATGAACTAAAGTTTCACTAAGATGAGCCAGTGAGCTGAGTATTTCCTACCTTTGAACTTGTGAGTGCGTAGGAGTAAACTGAGCATCAGATATGGCACAGGCAGAGACTTCTGGGGCAGAAACCTAGAGAAGCTTCAAACAGAAAATTGGTTTTCCCCCAGGGGACATTTACCCACGTAGTTCCCCCTCCCCTCATGGGACTGTGCCAGAAAAGCAAAGAGCAACTTTTATGGTCTTCATTACTTCCCCACAATCCAGTTCTAATTCTTTACTTCTTTGCCAACATTTCATTATCTACCCTCCCCTCCCCCCTTTTTAAATTATTGCCAACTTAGTAGGTGTGAAGTGGTATCTTATTGTGGTTTTACTTACCATTACCCTAATGACTAAGAGCGCTATACAGATGCTTGTTGACCATTTGTATAGCTCTTACTTAGCCCTCGTTTATTTACCAACAAAATGAAGACATTGCTAATTACATTAAAGACTAAGGCTAAAATGAGAAGAGATTAAAATGGCTAGTGAAAAGATACCAATTAAAGTACAAGCTTTAAGGAATGAACTCTGAGTTTTGATTTTTAAGCCTGTGTGGAACATAACCCCCAACATCTTATTGCTGAGTTTGCACTGCCTTTTAACTTTCTATTCTTTTTTTTTTCCCCTGCTCATCTTTGCTTGAGTACAGTATCGGATTCTTCTCTATATCAGTCAACAACAGCCAGTTACTGTTGCCAAGATTCATCTGAACTTTGAACTAATGGTAAGGTTCCCCATATTGGAATCCTTGCTTCTTTGAGATTGGTTTATTGTGAAAATGGAGTCCTGGGTGTCCATGTGGCTATCTTAACAGAGCCTCTCAAAATAGTCTTTGCCTTCCTGGAAAATGGACTAAGAGGGTATTGGTGGAGGCTGGGAGGGGCCTTTCTTTGGTTCCAGTCCAGGCAAGGCCCTTCTCTGTGCGTTTAGGCAGGTCTCCCTGCTGTGCCGCCTGTAGTTGATCATTCTAACATCTCTCTCCCCAGGCTCGGCCCAATAACTATAGCACCTTTTATGATGACCAGAGACGGAACTGGTCCATCATGTTTGAGTCAGAAAAGGCGGCTGTGGAATTCAATAAACAGGTAATATCATCTTAATCTTCCTTGGAAAAGCTGAACGTATGTCTGGATTTCCATGATACTCAGAAAATATGTGGAAAATTCAAACAGCTGTATTTTGTTAGTGACAAGTAGAAAAAAATACTACTAAGTTGGTCACTTGAACCTCTTGTATTTCAGGGAAATAATAGTAATACTGAAATTGCTTGCAAGTGAGACTAACAGAAAAAAAAAAAGAGTGTAAACTTACTTTTAAAATACTTTACCATTCCATAAATTCTCTTAAAGTATAAATGAAAACTATCTTTAAAAAATGGTGTTTTGGGACCCTCCCTAGTGGTGCAGTGGGTTAAAGCGCAGTACTGTGAAGCTAGCTGGAGCTACTTCAGCACATGAATTCGACCCCAGGCCAGGGAGGTGACCCACATGGCACAGCAGACCTCTCCTGTCTCACCTGCTGTTCCCCTCAGCATTGTGCTCTGTCATTCTGCTGGTTCTGCCCCCAACTCTGTCTCTGGTGAATCCTCTCACCACCTCTGCACCTCTGGCCTGTACCCCAGTTCTGTATGCATAAGTAATCTTTAATTTAAAAATGGTGTTTTAAAATAACTTTTAAAAAGTTAAGTGACCAATTTAGAAAATTTTGAAAAGCACCAAGAAAAATCATAATATTTCTACCCTACCACTGTTAACATGCTTCTTTTTTTCTATGTAGAAATGCCTTTTGAAAATCTTTAGAAGCTCTTTTTTCTTTATCAAACAATGAAGCTGTAAATCAGTACTGTAACAATTATTGTGCACTTACTGTTACCTGCCAGGCGCTGTGCCACGTCTGTTTATATTAACTCCATCTTCATAACTACCCTAGCAGATATACAGAGCTTTTGTTTCTGTTTTATAGAATCCTCTAAGAAATAAGGTTCACAGATTTTAAGTTATTTGGCTGAAGTCACAAGTTAATAAGTGGCAGGGCCTGATTGAATCCAGACAGTCTGACTCCAAAGCCAAACTCCTTTAAGCACTTTCATTCCTGGCAAGATTACTGACTTTGGAAATTCTTACTTCTAAATTTGTAATCTCTTTTGTTAGTGGATGCGACTGTTTGGTAAAGAACATTAGCAAGAGTGGAGTGAATATTTATTGAGCTTAAACGAAGTGTAAGTGGCTTCGATTTTGTCTTGCAGGTGTGCATTGCCAAGTGTAATAGCACGACTTCCCTGGATGCAGTGCTCTCACAGGACCTCATTGTCACAGAAGGCCCTGCTGTGGAAGTGGGAGATTCTCTGGAAGTGGCCTATACCAGCTGGTTTCTTCAGAATCACGTGCTGGGCCAGGTAAAAAAATGTACTCCTAAGTTCTTTTATAGTGTAAGAAGCACAGGGCTAACTGTGAATGCCTGCTGTTGTTCAATAGAAATCTTTTAGGAGCCCAGCTTTAGTCCCTAAGACTGCTTTGGGGCTAGACTCATGAAATGCTAATGTATAAGATCTACTAGTGTTTTTCCCATCTGTGAATGGAGGTTAGAGGCCCTTACCCTGCTACTTAGCAAGATTGTTGTAATTTCAAATCAGATAATTTGAAAATTCCTATTGATTAACAAATGCTTTATAAATACATAATAGCATAAATAAATACATGCATAATAGTTTTTTCCAAACTTGGGAAATCATTGCTTGGGAGATAGTCAGTGTGCTAACGCCCTTCAGCCTCTATGCGGTCCTGTCTTTTCAGGTCTTTTAAGAACTATTTTCCTAGTGTGTTTGACATTTTCTATGCCAGAAGTATTATGCTGGTATGTAAAACACTGACTGTCATGATTATTAGTACCATTTTTTAAAATTGGCTGACCCTCTTTACTTTGATCCAATTACAGGTTTTCGATTCTACTGCTAACAAAGATAAGTTGCTTCGTCTGAAGTTAGGATCAGGAAAAGTCATCAAGGTAGAGGCTTAAAGGTGTTCTTATGTGTTTATCGGTTGCACTAGACTTAATTTAGATTAAACTTGATAAAATTTCTAACCTGGGTAGATCAAACGAGTCTAGAAGCTTTGGTTAAAAGATCGAAGGAGAAAAATGCATTTGGGAGATTTTTACCTATCAGGTAATATTTAGGACATGGGTGCATTTCTTTTCTCAAGTCCCTACCCTTTTATTTCCCCCCTGAAACTATGATGAAATTATTAGATCCTTCCTATAGCCTGTTAGGGGAAGAGGTGATACAGATTCTTCTAGAAGACTATCACAATGGGTGCTTCTCACCTGATTGTAATACAGTGGATTAGCATTTCCCAAACCTTGTGGCAGGCATAGGAGGAGAGACATTGGGGTTGGAGAACAAGGACCTGGGTTCAGGCTGTGAATTTTTTCTTTATATTTTACAAGATACACAGTTGGTAGAGTATTTCATCTGTGTGGGTGTCACTGTGTGAGCACACATTGCTGATGCTTTGTGAAGTACTCATTCATCCATGTGGCATAAAGGTTTTCACTGTGCCTTTGATTATGACTCATTTTTCATTTGGAGGCTTTTTCTTATAAGCCATAGCAATTAAGGATAGCTGTAGTGTTGAGTCTTGATTTAACAAGTCTCTAACTTGGTGATCTTGGGCTAGTTACCAAATCTCCCCAACCTTAGTTTTCCCATCTCCTAAATGGATGTAATGCTGTTGACTTTATGAGATTATTGTGGGATTAAGCAATAATGCAAGTAAAGCATTTGCCACTTGGACAAATGTGTTTAGAAAAGAGTTTAACTCAGTCTCCCTTCAGAGGTCCAAGCCTGAAAGTGTATGAATGAAACCTGATGGTTCTGTACTTTGATGTGTCTTACAAGGAGTCTCTGTCTGATGCACTTTCCCTTTCTCTGACCCTGCAGGGCTGGGAGGATGGAATGCTGGGCATGAGGAAAGGAGGGAAGCGGCTGCTTATCATCCCTCCAGCCTGTGCTGTTGGCTCCGAGGGGGTAATAGGATGGATTCCATCAACAGACTCGACCCTGGTGTTCGAGGTGGAGATTAGGCGGGTGAGTGCACTTGCGCTACATTGTATTTGGTGAGTCCTTTTAGCTAGCTCCATGTGGTGAATAAATAAATGTGTGACAGCCAGGTGTGAAGACCTAGTTGCTGGTTTGTGTTATAAGTAGAAATGTTATAGTTGGAAAGAACAACAGCTTTGGAATCTTAACGCCCAAGATTTATGTCCTTTCTGGCTCTATGCAAAGTCTTTAGTGATCTATAGAGTGGTGATTCGTACCAAATGTACATAATTTTTGACTTATGGAAATAGAGTTTAGAAGCTTTGACTTTTTTTACACTGTCCCTGTATATGCTACTTGAAAATTTTATCATGAATATGAATAATTGCTATATTTATAACAAACTGTGGTTAATTAGATTAACATTACATACTACCCGACTCTACCCCCCACCTCAGAGACCTTGTTTAATTGTTAGGTCTAAATGTGATAGTGTTTATGACTATAAACTCCACAGTACAGCCATTAACATTTCTATTTAAGAGACAAATGAATACTATGTTCGTCTTCATTGTGGCAGCTCTTTCTGCTCCAGCAGAGGAAGGATATGCTTTTCTTCTCAGTGACACCCTGAGCTCTGCTGGGCCATTCCAGCTCTACCTCGCTGACATGTTTCCTGCTCCCTTTATCACACCTTTTATATTCTCTCTGTGTGTTCTTTTGAATTTGAGGAAACCAAGTTTGGTAATAGACAATAAACCAGTTCAAATCCATCTCAGCTGGCATTTTCTAAACATGAAAAAGCTATTTTCTTTTACTAATAATCAGAGAATAGCAAATTGACATGTTTATTAAATAAACAAAGCTAGTACATAATGATTGTGCCCAGTGTGACAAGGGTGTTGGGGGCTGTCTACTTGTAGAGTATGTAGTAGTTCACCTTTGCTGTATAAAATTTAATGGCATTTATCAGAGACCTCAAAAAAGAGCATACCTTTCAATCCAACAATTTAGCTTCCAGGCGTTGATACTTTGGAACTGATTATGTGGAGAGATTGAAAGTTATTGATAGAAGTATCATTTGTGATAGCAAAAATTAGAAATAAAAAGAATTTCTAATAGCCAGGAATTGTGAAATATATATTTTTACTAGCACAGATGTGATTTCTGTTCCCAAATCTTTTGGAGACATTTATTTCCCTATAGATAATCACAACTAAAGACATGACCGTTAAATTTATGCTTTTCAGTAGATAAAAATAATGTTGTAAATTAATAATTTTGTAACCTGGGAATAGGTTAATATATCAGTGAGTGAGCAATGCTGGTTACTAAACATTGGAGTCCCCTTTTTGTTCAAAATACACAAAGACACACACAGATAATATAGGTATGAAATAGTACCTCACCATTCCAACATTGTTATTACCGATTAATCTTATTAAAGTTTGACTGCAGGTGACTTTTTACTATTTTTTACATTTTGGGTTTGCCTGCAGTGAACAGGTAATGATGAGTATGTAAAATGAAAGGCGGGTGGAGGGGAGGGTGCCTCTTGGTAGTCCATCCCCCTGTGGTTGATCTTTCGCAGGTGAAATTTGCTAAAGATTCTGCCTCTGACGGGCACAGTGTCAGTTCCCAGAGTTCTGCAGCCCCTTCTCCGGTCCCCAGTGCTGACTGCCTCTCTGCTGATCCTGCCCTGTCCCCTCTGACATCGGTGCCTTTCAAGCCAGGGTAAGATGCCGGCTGGTGGCAGGCTCTTTTATTACCCCTAAAAATGATTCCTAGAGGATTTCAAAAATACAATATAGTTGGAAACTAATTTTAAATAACTGGGAAAAATTGAATGAGGGAAATACTTCTGTTAGATTTTTCTGACTGAATAATATTCATAGACTATAGTTTCTAACTCAGTTATTAGGAATACTTGCCATGCTCTGAAGAAAGTTGGGCAAAGGGCATAAAAGTAAAATATATATCCAAGGGAAAATGCATGAAAAATAAACATTTGAATGGAAACTGTTCGTTTTCACTAGTATTCAAGGATTATACAAACTTAGGATGAGTTAAAGTACTGTTATACAGCCATTAAATTGGCAAACTTTAAAACAATTTAAAAGTTTGTTCAGAATAACTTGATTATAGATTGTTTTCACCTCGGGGTGTATCTTCTTTGCTTTCAGAGAACCGGCTCTTCGTACCAAATCTAACTCCCTCAGTGAACAGCTTACAGTAAATACAGTGAGTCTGTTTTCCTCACCACCAGTGTTTTGAGATGATTTCATAAGCTTCAGGTATGGTAGGTGTCAGGGGGGCAAAATTCTCAGAACTAAGTGGTTACAGTAGAAATCAGTCTTTATTCATTTCCCCTTCCTTGGAAGTCAGCACAAATTAGCTCAGGCTTCTGCATAGATTGACCTAGGTACCTGCCTTTATTCTTATAAGCATGTGGCCTTGACAAAATTATCCAACTCTCTGAAATTTCGCTGGAGTGAAATTCATGATTGATTTTTCCCCATGTCTAGTTACTTGTTTGTATTCACCCAAAGAAGTCACTAAACAAATAATTGATCTGCTATGTATAAAAATTGATTAAGGCAAAGAATTAAAAAAAAAAAAAAGAAAACATTTATAATCTCAGATCTTCAAGCAACCATAAAAAAATGTCCTAGTGTTGGCTCTCCCTGGTGGCACAGCGGGTTAAAGCACTGCACTAAGAAGCTGAAACCACTTCCACATGAGTTCAATTCCCGCCTGCCCCGGAGGTGACCACATGGCGTGGCAGACCTCTCCTGACCCGCCCGCTGCTCCCCTCAGCAGTGTACTTCGTGGATATGCCTGTTCTGCTCCCCACTCTGTCTCTGGTGAAGCCTCTCACTGCCCCTGAGCCTCTGGCCTGTACCCCAGTTCTGTATGCACAAATAAGTAAATCTTCCAAAAAACAAAACAAAAAAACAAAAAAAAAATATCCTAGTGTTGATTCTGTTGTACTCTGTAGACATAGCTATTCATTTCTAAGCTTCAAGTAACTTCTGATAGCTGTTTCTAGCATTCCTCTTCTTTTTTTATATATTTTTTTAATTGAGGAAAATTCACGTAAAATTAACCATCTTTTGTCCTTTTACATTTAGGTTTTTGTTTTCTTGTTGGCACAGTTGAGTCAGGATAGCAAGATCCAGTCTCCTCCCGTCCCTGGGCACCTTGTTCATCTCAATCCCTCTTAGGTGCTAAAGCTTATATTAATTTTTTAAAAAGATTTATTTATTTTTATATATAAGAACCAGGGTACAGGCCAGAGTTGCGAGGGGTAAGAGTATTCACCAAAGACAGATGGGGAGCATAACAAGTAGATGTAATGAAATACACTGCTGAGGGGAACAGTGGGCGGGTCAGGAGAGGTCTGCTGTGCCATGTGGGTCACATGACCTCCCTGGCCGGTGATTGAACTTGTGCTACAGTGGCCTCCGATGGCCACAAAGTGCTGTGCTTTACCCTATTGTGCCACCAGGGAGGGCCCCATTTCCATTTCTTTCAGTGTTTTTTTATGCAGATGCAAGCAAACTGGAAGGTCTGTTTTATTTATACACAAAAAGTGGTGTGCTATATAATGTAACTTGTATATTTAATGTATTGCAATATATATAACAATACATGTTAGAATACATAACATGTTAGGGTGTGGAAAACTTAGTTTCCTGAGCGTTCCTCATGGTCTAGGGGTTAAGTCTTAGCACTACCACCACTATAGCCTGAATTCACTCTCTGCCAGGGAGCTAACCCCATATATGACACAGCAGACCTCTGATGTCTGACTTGGGGCTCCCCTCCCCTTAGCAGTGTATTTCAGTAAGTCCATCTGTTGTGCTCCCCACTCTGTCTCTGTTGAATCACCTCATCCCCTTTGCGCCTCTGGCCTGTACCCTAGTTCTTCCATACAAAAGTAACATTTTTTTTTTAAAGGAAAGAAAGCTTAGCTTCCTTATGTATTTTTTTGTCTCTGGACCACAGCATTTCATTGTTCTTTTGATAAACTCAACTGTTTTTGATGTGTGTCTCCACTAGCTAGGAAAAAATGACTACCCACTCATGCCCAGTGTACTTCAAGTAGATAAAGTACTTTCAACCTCTGTAAATAAGCTTAATGGTGCATGTTTACAATAGCTTACAAGTAATTTAAAAGTAGAAGTCATGATACTTTCTAAACCAAATAGATCATGTACAGTCTCAGGCTATGTATTCTCTTTTCTGAGGCCAGGCTCTTTTTTTTTTTTCTTTCTCTTTATATATTTGTTGACAAGGTAGACATCACACTTACACTCAATTAAGAGAAACACTTTTATCGTTGAGATGTTAAAGGCTGCACTTTGGACCAGTTAGTGAATGCCTGGACTTTTGGCACAGTGGCTGCTGTATGTCAGAGCTAAGAGTGAAGTGAACCTGAATTTGAAGCAAAGACCTTTTTCTCTCCCCTGACTGTTTTTTTGAATGGCTTTTGAGAAAGGTACTACCACCGAAAATGTTTCCCTCCTTTAATCTGTGCTGTAGTTTTTTATCTGTAAAATGAAAATAATTATACTTGGCAGGGAGACTTGAGTGAAATGAAGTAACCTATGAAGCCACTTTCTCTTTCCCAAACATACAGGGAATTGCTTGCACTGCTGTTGTGACTCATGTATGCTTGTAAGCAAGAAATAGTTTAATTCTCATTTTCTAGAACATATGGCAGAGGATAAGAGCCAAGGGATAGAGCTGATTGAAGGTAAAGAACTGGATTACAGTGATTTTTATCACTTTCTTCTCTTTCCAGAATCCTGATACTGTCAAGGCCAAGTTGATCTCTCGGATGGCTAAAATGGGTCAGCCCATGTTGCCCGTCCTCCCACCACAGCTGGACTCCAATGATTCAGAACTTGAAGTACGTCCCTTTGCTATATTAGAATAAACAGTGCAGACGTTGTTATCTTCTGTTCCTTTGGTTGAAATTACTTTTTGTGCCTCTAGCTCAGAATTGTTATTAAGAGAACTCACTCAAAATGACATAGTTGGGTGGGAATTTTAACTGAGACCTTATATTAAAAAACTATACAAGTTGCTGGCACTGGTAACGTGTTCCTCCTATGGCTAGGAGAGAAAGAAGCAATTCCATACATCAGCCACAAGAACTGGAAAGTTTGAAGTTAAGTTTAGATACTGTGTCAGTACCTAAAAATTACTCTTAAGACAACAAGGATGCTCAATCCATAAAAAACACTCAATTCATACTTGTTTACTGACTATTTAGATCCTTTTGGGAAATATTGTCTTCCTACTGATGTTACTAAAGATTACACTGGTGAACAGAGTATAAGGACTTTGTGATTTTTTTTTTTTTTTTTTTTTTTAAAGATTTATTTATTTGTGCATACAGAACTGGGGTACAGGCCAGATGCTCAGGGGCAGTGAGAGGCTTCACCAGAGACAGAGTGAGGAACAGAATAGGCAGATTGACGAAGTACACTGCTGAGGGGAGCAGCGGACGGGCCAGGAGAGGTCTGCCACGCCATGTGGTCACCTCCGGGGCAGGCGGGAATTGAACTCATGCGGAAGTGGCTTTAGATTCTCAGTGCAGTGCTTTAACCCGCTGCGCCACCAGGGAGGGCCCAGGACTTTGTGATTTTTTTTTTTGAAGTGTAGGAATTTTATAATCAAATCTCTTAAAACTACTTTTTATATTTAGAGCTAAAACTTTATCAGGAATTTGTTATATTATATGAGTAGCTTAAGTATGATTTAATTATTCCTTACTGGTTTGCTCTTTATTAAATAGAACTGTCCCTTAGCAACTTAATTAAAACATACTGATTTTTAAGATTTTTTTCACTTTGATGTAAAAAAGCAAATGTGATGTTCTTGAGAAATAAAGGCTTTATTTTTCACAATTTTATTTCTGTGTGTAAAAACCCTATATAGATTTATTTAGAATTTATTTAAAAGATGATAGAATTTCTGGGATCTGTTACAGGATTTTTTTTTTTTTAAGATTTATTTATTCATACAGAACTGGGGTACAGGCCAGAGATGCGGAGGGTGGGAACAGAGTGGGGAGCAGAACAGGCAGATGGATGAAGTACACTGCTGAGGGGAGCAGCGGGAGGGTCAGGAGAGGTCTGCGGCGCCATCCATGTGGATCTCCTCCCGGGCAGGCGGGGATCGAACTCATGCGGAATTGGCTTAAGCTTCTTAGTGCTGTGCTTTAACTCGCTGCGCCACCAAGGAGAGCCCGTTACAGGATTTTTTTTATCTGGCTTATGAAACTGAGATTTGGATAATATAATTCTTATAAAAAAATGTAAGTGCTGCTTATTCATTAGAATTACATATCTACAGGTAACAGGAAGAAGGGGAATTTCTAAAGTAGAATAGCAGGGATTTTAGTCCTTGAAACTGTAGCACAGCAGATTATAGTCAGTGTATATTGTGTCTCGAGATTTTCTTTCCATTTTATGAATTGGGAAGATGTTTGTAGAATACCTTTGTTTAGAATTTCAGTAGGGAGCACAGCTCTTTGATTTTCTGAAAAGAAAGAATGGGGGGCAAGCCCTAAACTAAGTTACTCAAAGACAGCATGGTAATGAGGCAGAGTGACCAGTACGCTTAGCAGATTTTCATTGAAAACCTGGAGATTATTGTGCCCCAGGGGCACTTGGAGATTGTTTGTACCTGGGTCCCTGTAGATTCTTTGTACCCAGTGTACCTGGATATTATTTAGCAGAGGAGGAAAGGCTGGGTGGCTCCTGGGGATTCCCCTCAAGAGAGTTCTCTTCTGTGGGAAGACTGGGTTTGCTTTAAGGTAGCCACTGAGCTGGAAAGTGACACATTCTGAAGAACAGTCAGTGTAGCTGCTTCAGACAGCAAAGCATCAGCAACTGATAATGCTCGAGGACATTAATTGTACTTCATAAGAAATTCCATTTGCTGTGATTTTCAGGGAGGAGGGATCTTACTCTATCACAAAATGGATTGTTCTCTGCCCATAACCCTCACTCTAAAGCTCTTGCCTTTCTGCTCGCCTTTTCTTCTTCTTCTTTGCCTAAAAACATTGTAAGCAGATTCAAGTGGACACCCAACTCAGGCTTCAAAAGTAAGGACTCCTATATCTAGTAACCAAAAGTGGTGCTTTGGCCTGTTTCAGGATGTGAGTGCTCTTCGAGGAGCTGGACAGCCCCAAGCGACTCCGTCTTTCCAGCCCTCTCTTCAGCCAGTCCATCCGGCGTTACCACAGATGACCTCACAAGGTGAGCAGAACTCAGAGCTTCTGGGGCCTTGAACTCAGTCAGCGCCAACATAATCATCACTGTTCCTTAAATTATCAAACCGCGTTGTTTTAGTATTGAGAACTGAACTAGCGTGTATACTTGTCTGTTTGTCCCTGACTGTGGCGATTTCAGATGTGAAGATATTGTTGGTCTGCTCACTGCATTGCATTGTCAGTTTTAGAAATTTGCACTCAGCTAATGAGATATCTCCCTGTGTGTAGTTCTGTACTTCCTGTCAACTCATGGGACCAGGATTGAGTCAGATGCACTCCAAAGTACTCCATTTCTTCCCACTGACCCATTGTGGAGTCTCCAGTAGAGCTGGTTTTAGGAGACTGAGGAAATTGGTCCAGTTTGGAGTGTGATGATGTGAAGATACTGGTCCCGACTCTTACTGCAGCAAGAAATGGGTAATAGTGACAATGTTTTGCTTTGTCTTAGCACCTCAGCCACCTGTTTCTGGGCTCCAAACACCCTCTGCTGCCTTAATGGCCGTCGCACCTCTGGATTCCCAACCAGCTGTATCTGGAAATACCCAGTCCTTTCAGGTAACCTTTTAAAACCATCTGTTATTAAGCTATAATTTATTGTGGTTCTAGGCAGTCTCTTTTCTTCTTGAACAATTCATAGAATACCAATTTCCCACATCCAGAGCTTATAATTTTTCCCCTTCCTAAGCCATTCTTTTCCGTCTTTTAACCAAGCAAAGGATTACCTGCCTTATAGGCTGTTGTGAAGACTAAATGCAGGAACAAACAAAGCACCTGGAATGAGACTTGGCACATAGATAAGGCCCAGTCAGTGCTGCCCGCCTCTTCTCACACGTGCCTAGACGGGGGTAACAGAATGCAGAATACCTTCTGCATTCTTCTGTGCATTTGCACTGCAATAGCAGAATGGTTCTGGGTTGAGATGGAGACTCAGTGGAAAATACAGCGGGGCCCTGCTATCTAGTTACAGGTTTTCCCTATTGGAAAGTTGAGGGCTCCTGTTTGATATGATTTGGTAGGTTACCATTTGGGTCTGGGAATGCTGTAACCATTAGTTTACTGGAATAATTTTTGCATAAGCCTAGCCCCAAATACACATAGGTTTATATGTCATTTCATTTAGTCCACACAACAGCCATGAGAACTAGTACTATTTTTGTTTTACAGTTGAGGTCAACAGGGTTCGGAGGGTATTGAGAGCTCTTGGTCACCCATATAAACACACAGGAACCCAGCAGGACAAGGTATCCTTTGGAAACAGGCAGCTTTAGTTTGGAATCTCCACAACACACTCCTTTTACTCAGTGGAAACTATGCAGAACTTGCTTAGTATTAACATTTCTTAATACCTACTTAATTAAGTCATTTCACCAGAGAGCTGGGTAGTGATCTGAGACACCTTTCCCTCACTTGCAAAATAGGACTTCAGTGCCCCGGTCCCACTGGGTTAGCAGGTAACTCTCCTGCTGTAGTGCTTAGTACCGAGCTCCAATTGCTTTCATTTCCAGCTCCAATGAGTTTGAGTCTCCTCTTAAGAGGACCCACTTTATTCAACAAAACAGAAAAGACATGAGTGTTTTCTAACCAGCTAAGACTTGGCATTCTCTCAGCCCTATGCAGGTTTGCCAGCCTATGCTTTCCCCCAAGCGTCCGCCATCACCTCGCAGCTGCAGCCCGTGCGGCCCTTGTACCCCGCGCCTCTCTCTCAGGCGCCTCATTTTCAAGGTAGGGAGCAATCCCCTCAGCTTCTCATCTTCCATTTTTTTGCTGTGCTCTCCTTCCTCCCATCTCTTTTTCATTTATACTCCAATAGTTCTGTTCCCTTTTTTCTTTCTAAACCGCTTCATGGTGGTGGGTGTATTCCCAGGGAATACACCCAAAATTATAAAGCATACATTGTATAAAAAATGATCCCAAAAAATATAAAAAAAATCCCTGTGAAACAAAAAAAAAACAAGCTTCATAAAATTGAAGTGCACATAGCGTATGATCCACTTACCCTATTTGTACAAATAAGGATTTGGAGTAAGTTCACAGGCTTGCACAATCTTCACCACAGCCCAACTTCAGAACCCTTTGCAATTCCCCCAAGCCTCTCATGCTTCTTTCTGTGTTTGTCTCCTGCACTTGCTCCTGCTGAGTCTTTAGCCTTCTGTCAGCATGGCTAGAGTTGATAGAAGATAATAAATGAGTGAAGCGCTGGAGGAAATTGGGAGAAAGCAAGATGGCCATTGGTGGATGTTCGGTATCGCCACTGAAAGCTATTTTTAAACATTTTGTTTCATTATGAAAATAATGTGTTTATTAAAAAATAAAATATTACTAAAGGGTGTAAAGTGAGAAGTTACTGTCCTTTTCCATCACAAAAAACCCTTGAGAGTGGGAAACTGTTGTAAACAGTTCACTGCTCTTATATGCGAGGACAAGTGCTTGTCTTACGTAAAAAACAGTAAATCTAAGCAGCGGGCAGGGGCCGCCTTTGTTCTGCAGTTTGTCTTTTGCCCATTTATCCTGTTGTTCGGATGGTGGAGGACTAGCAAGTCTACCCTTCCACGGCACTTGTGCTTCCAGAGTGCTGAGGGCTCCTCGAATGCAGCCTTTGGGAGTCCTGTTTCTCCTCCATGGGGAACCATCAGACCTGTCATCTGTCTCCTCTGCAAAGCCTTTCCTGATTGTGTCGACCCCTCCCAGACACCTCACTGCTATTTGTGTCCCCAAAGAGTTAATCTTGCTTTTCTCGGAGCTACTTTTGTACCCTGTCCGTTTTTTAGCACTTTAAACACTCTGTTGTAATGATCTGTTAATATATCAGTTTTCCCACCAAACTGAACTGGCCAACAACAGAAAACTGTGTTTTATTCTTGGCTGTATTCCTGGCACGTGGGACAATGCCTGGCATGTAGTTGGATAAACGGGAAGCAATCTGAGCTGCTAGTGCCCAGACAGGTCAAAGCAGGCACAGATTGCCCTCCCTTGGGCCAGACTCTCGCCAGACCTTGTTGTATCCTGCAGAAGCAGGGCTTGGTTATTACTAATTTATCTCCTCATCTCCTGACAGTGAGTTGCCCATAGCACTTCCTTCTATTTGGAAGTATTAATTTCCTCTGCTGGAAGAGCTGTTGGCATTTCCCCACACAGGGTCCTCTGCTCCAGTTCCCTAAGTTTCTTTTTGCCTGTGTCTATTTAGGATCTGGTGACATGGCTTCGTTTCTCATGACTGAAACCCGGCAACATAACACTGAGATTCGAATGGCCGTGAGCAAAGTGGCCGATAAAATGGATCATCTCATGACTAAGGTGACTGAGTTGGAGTCGGGGCTATGTGGAAAAAGTGGGGGTACAGGTGGAGTGCAAAATGGGGTAAGTGGGGTTACAGATCTGCTTTTCCTTAGTTTCCCGTGTTCATAGTGGTTGATAGTCATTTCTCTAGAAGGATAGTTATTATTTTGGGGTCCAGTTAGTAGGAAATGTAGCTTACAGTAGAAAATCTCAAAAACCTATCAACTCCCTCAAAAAGAGTGGTCAAATACTAGGTAAATTCTGTTTCTCCGTGTCAGGATTTCTCATGAGGATTTTTGGCATCCCTTTCATAGGTTGACGAGTTACAGAAGCACAGTGCTGGCAATTCCCTACTCATTCCTAGCATGTCGGTTACCATGGAAACAAGCATGATTATGAGCAACATCCAGCGAATTATTCAGGTGAGGGATGTGGAAACAGAGCACACTACCCGGGAGGTTTGCCCAGGCTCTCTCCCCAGGTGGACTGCCCTTCAAACCTTTACTCCAGAAGCAGTATGTGATAAATGTCGCACTGAGTTGGGAAATTCTGGACAATCTGTTATTGCTTAATTTGCCTCAAGTGACTCTCACTGTGTAGTCAGGGCCCTTTTTTGACCACATTGTAGAATTGTACTTTATTTTAAAGCATTGCAGTGCAGAGTTCATCGGGCAATGTGATTTGTAGCCATTAAGTATTACTTGATGTGTTGTTGTAAGTATTCGATCGTGTGGCCCTTTATTAGTTTAGTGTAGTTTCTCATCTAAAACATACCCATGTCATCTATTGATTCCACTTCAGCTGGCACTTTTCAACTTACATTACATGTTTTTAATTTAGGAAAATGAAAGATTAAAGCAAGAAGTCCTTGAGAAGAACAGTCGGATAGAAGAACAAAATGACAAGATTAGTGAACTAATTGAACGAAATCAGAGGTAATGACAGGTACGGGGCACTGGCCAGGATGGACAAAAACCCAAGCTAATGGGCATGTTTGTTTCGGGCACTTTGTTTGTATTGTGTTGCTTCCTCTTCCTGACTATCACGTGAATGACTGCTTTTCTGAGAGACATTTCCGGAGAAAGAGCTGGATCGGCTCTGATGTAAGGCAGACCTGTGTTTGATTTCTGGCTTGCCTCACTTTGTGTGTACTTTGCATTTTGATTTATTCCTCCTGGCCCTAGTTTTCTCATCTGTAAAAGTGGTATTAATACTTAAAAATCTGTGGTGCCAACTCTTCTCTCTTCTGTGTGCATGAATTTATCAACCAGAATGTCTGATTGCTGTATAATTCTTTATATTCTTTATATTCTTCCAAAAATTTGGATGGGCCAGAGGAACATATCACAGTAAATAGAATTTTGCCCTAAAAATTGTATCTCATCTCTGGTTTCTCTGTCCCCCATTTTGGGGGTGGCCGTGGGGGATTGAAGCTACCTCTTTGCTCTCTTAATTTTTCCTTTTCACCACCCACCCTTCAAAAATTCCTCTCCTTTAATCTGAAGAGTCGAAGCCTTCACCTTTGTCAAGATTTGCTTCCAAACACAATTACTATGAATCTAAGAAAAAATAAAATGCTTTCAGACTTCTTGCTGAAGGTGTGGAACAGTGTTGTACAGACAGTATGTGTGGGCTGTGCCCAACTATTCTGTACTTGGTAAGTGGTTTCCCCTCCTTGTCTCACAGATATGTTGAGCAGAGTAACTTGATGATGGAGAAGAGGAACAACTCCCTTCAAACAGCCACAGAAAACACACAGGCAAGAGTATTGCATGCTGAGCAAGAGAAGGTAAAGTCTCTGGGGAGAGAAGTGCCCAGCCAGGATGTACAGAGCTGAGGAGGGCCTCTCTGTTCTTGCCACTGTGCTTCTCAATAGACCTCTTGCCATCATGGGGATGACAGCTAGAAATCTTCGGGCAGATTCTACGACATTTGCCATGAGGGTTTCCATTTATTGAATGCTTTGCAAGGAATTGCCCCAAACAATCACAGAGCTTAGTCACTACACAGCTTATTAGACACTGGAGTTATTCTGTTCATAGAAATCACCAGAAAACTACTATGCAATGTATTTAGTGAATACATATTTTTAGTGAAATCTGAGCTTGTTCAATTTGCATCTAGGATTTTAAAGTACTGCTGTGTGACTTCAGTCAGGTCAGAATTAGGAATTTTGTCCCTGTAGTCATAAGGAAGACTGAAGCGCCTCCTGGTTTGGGAACAACTCATTCTGAAGCCCACTGCTGTTCCTGTTCCAGGGACACCTTTCCTGCAGAATGGATTCCTTCTTACCACCCCCCAGCTAGCTGGGAGATCTTGACCCTTTCATCTATTCTTTGTTCAGAGGTTAAGAAATTGTTGACATTTTGCTTGAGTTTTTCTTGAAAATGTGAAAAGCTGACCAGAATATAGTATATGGAATTTACTTACTTTCTCATGTTCTGGCAATGTGATTTCTTCCTTGTCTTAAGCTATTGTTCTTTGTGCTGGCTTAGCCAGTGTTTCCAGCCAAGGAACACCTGTGACCCTGAGCCTCAGGTCAGAAGTGCCCTGTGCTCACAGTCCAGGCGGCGCTGGGCCTGCTGCTCTCCTCATCATTGCCTCCTACTAGTAGCCTTGATGTTGCCTGGAGCCATTCCACCAGTCCCCACTGGTGTTTCCCATCTCTCCATTCTATAGCAGGGTCCTCTCTGGCATTTCTCCTCTCCATTCTGTAGCAGGGTCAATAGATGTATTTGTTCAGCTTGGCACAGTTATTAATCAGGTCTAAAATGACCAATTTTTAGGTCTGACTGACTCAAAATCACTTGGGATGCTTGATTAAAAATATATTTTCTTAGATAATTCTACTTCAGTGTATCTAGGGGCCCTAAATCTGAGTTTTTAAAAAGCTTTCCTTGACATTGACACCCAGGGTAGGAGAAGTTTGCATTTCTCAGTGGTTTCCCGTTACACTCTGGCAGAGGCACCTGGACACCTGTTTTTCAGTAAATTCACCATGTGACTCTTGTAGATCAGTGGCATCTGCGTGTGTGTTTTCCACTTAAACTTCACTGGTATAAACAAGCAGCAGGCAAGTTTGACCTGCAGCAGCGCTTGCTCTCTGCTGAATTAGCTAATTGATCCATCGAATGTTTCATTTCGTTTAACTCCAGAGTAGCATATACAGTCCGTTGAACCTGGCAGATGCTCTCTTCAAAATGGCAGAAACAGTAGTGAGAACAACAATAGTTGACAACTGACATCTGCCAAACATCCATGGGCTTTGAAGCACTGGGCTTTCATGACCACATCTGCTTGGGTATCTGCTGTTACTGTTCTTGAGGGGTCGGGTACTGAGTGCCACATACTTCACATGGTTACCTGGAAATCAGTGAAACTTTTCAAATCGGTACTCTTCCATTTTTATTTTGATCTTAATGACTTAACAATCTTGCATGAGATTTCTCTTAAAGGCGGCCAGTGAGGGGCCTTTCATCTCTGGAGACAGTTCCCTGCCTCACACGTAGCTCAGAAGGTTATGGGTAAGAGCCCAATGAATAGTTGCTATATGAAATTACTGTTCTCTAACAAGACTCATTTCTACACAAAACTCTGGAAAATGATTAAAATTGGGGGAGTATTAGATGTCATCTTATTTTACAAGGCAAGGGGCGCAAACTGAGACCCAGAGAGTAAAATACATGCTCAGAGTCTTGTTTCCAGTCAGTTGTGTTCTTTTGCTTTGGTCAGATTTACATCTTTCTTTGGTACCATTTTGCTGCTTCTAACTTGAAATCTTATTTTTCTCAATTCTTATTTTCTGCTTGTCATTTCTTTTTCAACTCTCCATGTCAACAGCAAAATTTGATACCAGTAGGGACCAGCGAGCCATCCTATTGACTGCACAGGCTTCTGTGGTTTTAGTTTCTGCTGGATACTGCACACCTTTATCTCTTGGACAAAAATACACAATCTGTTCATTCTAGAAAACTTAGAAAATACAGATAACAAGCACCATGACCCTCCCACTCAGAGGTAATCGTTTATGTATTATTCATCTCCAGCATCTGTGTGTGCTTGGCTCGGGAGTATTGTTTGATGCCGCTAATAGGCTTTTCTAGCTTAAGGACCACAGGTGAAAAGTAGCTTTGAGTGACCTTCCTTTCTTCCCTCCTTTGGAAAACTCACCCTGCATCCTCAGCCTTTGCCCTGGAGTGTGTGTGTCCCCTCCTGTGCGCTTGGCTGCAGGGGCCAAGCGTGGAAGTGGCGCTTGCCGTGGACTCCCCAGCCACGGGCGGCGCCAGACTCGGAGCGTTGTGTTCAGTTTCCCTTGGGCAGTTGGGGCAGGACAGTAAGTTAAAGCTGTATTCTACTGAGGTCAGATATAAGCCCTTTTTCTTTCCGGAAATCCTACCTACCATTATCCCCTCTGTAGAAAGGTGAAAACTGAAAGCCACTGAGCTACAAAAGTGTGTTAGAGCTCAAGCCAAAAGCATATAACATTAAAGAAAAAAGTCATTCTGAACTTACTAAATCAATAGAAGGACTTTATTCAACTTGCACTAGGAGGGAGAGATGGGCTCAAGGCCAAATGAGTGGGCAGCTAGACTTGTGAGGGGATCCACATGGGGGGAGGCTTGCTAACCTGACCCAGTAAGAATTCTTGCTAAAGACAGCCAAGGATGAACATACCAGAAGTTGGGGAAGAACTTGATCAGGATTAGGAGAGATCTATACACACACAGACACATTTTCCTGCTTCTAACTTGAAATCTTACTTCACTTTTTTTTTTTATTTAGCAGGATTCTTAGTAAAATTGGCTGGTCAGGCCAAAGACAAGATAGGGAGGCCAAGGTCAAGGGTTCAGAGGAGACTGACTAAAGACTGGTCAAGAAAAGTCTTCATCAAGTTACTCTTAGAAACTCATTCCTAACCTACTTTAAAATGCTTATGTGCATAATTTTTTTTTAAGATATATTTTTACTTATTTATATTTACTTATTTGGCAACCACTGGCGAAGCTGGGGTGTAGGTCAGAGGTGCAGGGGTTGGGAGGATTCACCAGAGACAGAGTAGGGAGCAAAATAGGCAGATCTACTGACAAACTGTTGAGGGGAGCGGCAGGTGAGACAGGAGAGGTCTGCTGCGCCATGTGGGTCACCTCCCTGGAAGGGTTCAAACTTGTGCTACAGTGGCCAGCCATATCTTGGTAGCGCTGAGACCTTTAAGCCCTGCTCCAGTAGGGGTAAAAAATATATAATTTTTGTTTAATTTCCTTTTAGGAGATCCAAAGCCTCTGTTTTTAAATGAAAGGTATAAAACTGATAAAGGTTTTTGGATAACTAGTAAACTGAGATTAGCATGGTAAATACTGTAAGAAGGGATAAGTGATAATAGATGTCTGTAAGCATGCATGTGAAGTATCATTAGGAGGCGGGCGGTAGCAGCCAGCGGTGCAACTGCATGGAAGGATCCCTCAGGTGTTGCTGTCCAGATGTCAAACTGGTCACCAGCAAGACAACCATTCACTGTCTTTCCTGGCATCAGAATTCTCTTCTCTCCTGTTTTCAGTGTGGTATTTGACACGTGTTTACCATTCCTTTTTGTTGGCCATCCTTTTAACTATCACTGTCCTCACCACCAACACCCAAATGCCCAGGATATCACTCTGGGGTTTTCCAAGTTTGTCATTGAGATTTCATCAGATGTTATTTGGGAATGTTGAGCTCCTATTTGGCTATTACAGAACACCAAGTAAGGTATATTGAGCAGTTCAAAGAAGCTGAAGTGTTCTTTTACTAGCTGTGTTCTTCCAGGATACCCCAAAGCTGTTCTCATATGACCCCTCTTTATATTACACGATTACTAATGGTATAGTACTACCAGGAGAAACTGTAGGCTCAGAGTTGACTGCTACTGAAGGCATCCAGTCTATACTTTAAAATATCCCTTTCTTACTAGAAAATACATGTTTATCATAGTAAAGCTAGAAAATACATGTTTATCATAGTAAAGCTAGAAAATGGCAGGATATAATTTCTCATACACCAGGTTGGTAAAAATCCAGAATTTGGCAACCACTAGTGAAGCTGGTAGGACTGTCGAATGGCTTAGGGAGGGGAATTTGATGGTGTACAAGATCACAGTCACATTTATTAGCTGATAGGGCCTGGAAACCTGCTGAAGGCACACCTGCACACAGATGACATGACACGTGTCCAGGATTATGCGTCGGTGTCATGGTGTATAATGGGAAATGGCGGTAGACAACCCGAGTGTCCTGCAGTAAACTGAGACATTCACATCGCAGGTGCCACGCTACTTTAAATCGGGAAGAGCTGTATGTGCCACTAGTGAGTGTATGTAGCTTGCCGCCTTTTCTGTATGAAAGGGGGAAATAAGAATCATATTGGGATTTAGATAGTCACTGTGAATGAAAAATAAGCCATCACATGGTCACCCCTGTAGGACATGGGGGAGGAGTTAGGGATAGGCGTAGGGGCAAGACTTCTCATTGTTTACTTCTTTATATCTTTTAAAATTATTGAACAATGAAACATCTTTTCCCCAAAAATCATTTACAAGACAAAAAAGTATATATAAACTGCAAGCAAAAAGAAGTATATATGTGTGTGTACATATATAGCATACCCATAGTCTTCTGTCTACATTAACTACTGCTAAAATAGGTGTCATTCACAGTCTCTTCCACAAGTGTGTTTGCAGACAGGGTGTTAACATTTTGTGAACATTGATAGTGTTCACTTTCATACCACCTTTCTGAATAGCTACACACAGAAGGTTTATCATAATTTGCTTAACCCATTTTCAGCATTTTATTTTTCTGTTCTTTTGCAATGGTGAATAGTACTACCATGAATATCTTCATAGCACAACTTTTGTCATCTTAAATTATCCTAAGGACAGATTTCTGCAGGGTAATTCCTGATTAGACACTTTGCATATTTCAAAAGCTTGATTTTGGTTTAATGCAGGTTGAAAGTCGCCTTAGCCCCGTTCCGGTCAGTTCATTTAGCATAGAGTAGTGGGGCTGGGTCCCCACTTAGAGACAGGACACAGGTGTTTAAAGTGACATCGTATTTTGCTGATATCCAGGCAAAGGTGACTGAAGAGTTAGCAGCAGCCACTGCACAGGTCTCTCATCTGCAGCTGAAAATGACCGCTCACCAGAAGAAAGAAACAGAGCTGCAGCTGCAGCTGACAGAGAGCTTGAAGGAGACAGAGCTCGTCAGGGGCCAGCTCGCCAAACTGCAGGCAGAGCTTTCAGGTATGTTACCTGTGATGGGGGCTGGGAGCTTTCCCATTTAAACGTAAGGGATTAAGCTCTTTCCTCCTTTCTTTTAATCCACTTGGCTTGATCTTCCTGAGGTGTATGACAGACTGAGGCAAAAATCAGTGTGGACTAGGATAAGCCTACATGATCGTTTGACATAAAGGACAGTAAAAGAACTGACTTAATTTAGAGTTTATGAGTGGCCATCATTTGCCTTGATTGGCTGCTGTTGCTGTCAGTATCTTTGGTGCGTAAGGTTGGCTTCATGGGCCTGGAAGAGTTCCTATGTTCCTCTAATACCTGACACAGTGAAGTTTAAGAAGCAGGTGCTTCCTGCTGTACTGGCCTCTTTCTTAGAGTTTGGGTTGCAATTCTTAAGGCTGGTATTCAAGGCCCTCCGTGCGACTGGCCTCCAGCCTGGTGCCCAGTTCCCCGAGTAGTGTGTTGACCAGTACCACCCAGGCCACTCCCACGTCAGCACACCCTGCAGTGCTTCCCTTGCTGTTTATGCTTGCTGTTCTCGGAACGTGGTGTGCCCGACATTGCCAGGATTTGCCTCCGTTCTTTCCGAAGTCTGCCTCTTTCCAAATCTTCCCTGGTTTTGTTCTAGAACATTTGGTCTTCTTTCAAGTCCTTTACCTCTGGCTGCATTATTAGGGGCGGGTGACAGCCACTGACAGCCTGAGAGGGCGAGCATGATGTGCCGTCTTTGTGAAGTCCTTTCCTCTACCTCTGTGCTAGGTCAGTGCCTGGCACAAGGATGGTGCTCAAGACGCGTGACTCAGGAAATTCATGCAGACTAGCCTGTTGATTCGTGCGTGCGTGTTAGTGCATAGACACACATGTGCTGGAGCAGAAGCAGAGTTGGGAAGAAGCCGAGTTCACTCGCTTGTTAGAGCTGACACACACTGATGTCAGCGGGTAAAGTGGCAGCTGGCGGACAGGCTCCTTGCCTTGAAGAGCAGCATCTGGCCCACGGGAGGGATGCTCCTAGATCTGAATGTCATCGTTTCTACTTTGCTGGTGCTCTGTGGCAATTATCTCAAGGAGAACCGAACATTTTCCAAAAATTTTTGGATTCGTTGCCCTTTTTAAAAAAGTTAATAGCTTTATTTGAGGGAAGGGATGTTGAAAGTAAACAGTGGCAGAGTGTTCCAGCTGCTAGAAAGTTGTGAAACTTTTACCCAGGCAGTGAGAAAAGGCCTGGACCAGTTCTAAACAAAGACCAGTCCGCTGTGTTGGGAAGGGAGTTTGGGTGGCATAAACCTCAAAGGTGGTCTCGGCGCTGGCACATGTTTTTCCCGTTGTGTATGTGTAGACACTAGTACACACTGACTTCCTACGGGCCAAATGCAGGCACGTGGGGTGATAGTTTATGGCTTGATGAACCTGTTGCTGCTCAGTGAATTGTGAAAGTGAGAAGTGCTCTGTTAGCAGGATTGGGAGGCAGCGAGGTACAGCTTTGCAGGAGCTGCTGGGGTGCCATGCGGCCCAGTGCAGCCCAATCTTGCTGCTATTAAATCCCAGAACTCCAAGAAGCCTCCGAGCAAGCACAGTCCAAATTCAAAAATGAAAAGCAAAGCCGGAGACAGCTAGAACTCAAGGTGACAGCCCTGGAGGAGGAGCTGAGTGATCTTCGGACCGAGAAGGAATCTTTGGAAAAGGTGAGTTCTGCAAGCGAAGTCACTGGCTGAACCCCAGTGGCCAGGATTTGCTGCTTACTGAGCACTTAAAGGCTGCAGTAGTGCGTGTTCATTGTGACCAATACACATAAGATGGAAAAGTATAAAAGAAAACAGAAAATTTCTCTTTTCTCCCTCTCTGATTCCTTGTTCATATTTGTATGTCTAAACACATGCATGGATTGTTTTCTTTGTGTATAAAACACAAATACCTGTGTAGAGGTCATTTCTAACAATAGTGGGATCATGTTTATTGCTTTATTTTTTTTGACGTGGTGAACATTGTACTAGTATGAATGAGGCCATTCTTTTTCGCTGCTGCAACTATTCTCTTTAGCTACTCTGCTGTGGGCTGCACCATGACTTACATCCTTACTGGGCATTGATGCTGCTCTTCTTTCATTATTTCAAATGTTGCCGCTGTGGACATTTTTGTACTGTGTACTAACTGAGCATTTTTCATAATTGCTTGAATTGCATTGGAATTCAATACATTTTTATATTGCCAGATTGTCCTCAAAGAACAGGACTGTAGGTCACACTTGCAGCACAACGTAAACCAGCTCATTGCTCCACACTTTCTAGTCGCACATCTGTCAGTTTATCATCTGAGACTGAAATTTGCTCTCTTGTTTTAATATGTATTTTTGTTAATGATAAAATTTTTACATATTCAATATCGACTTGTATTTATTCTGTGACTTCTCTTTAATATCCTTTGTCTTCTTTCCTATTGCCATGTTGGTTTGATTTGGAAACACTGCTAAGGGTATTAATCCTCTATCAGTTGGAATCTCTTTCTAGCTTGCTATCTTTTTAGAATTTTACTATCAGAGAAATACTAGCTTCATTGAACCAAGAGGAATGTTTCTTTTTGGCTATTTGGAACAGTTTAAATATAAGCAGAACAAATTATTTCTAAGGGTTCCAATAAAAATCTCTAGTGAAGTTCTTTTGACCGGTAGCAGCACCTTCAACCCCAGGCCCTTGGGACTTGTTCTTTCAAGGGAACAGTTTCTTTTATAAAGTGACGTCCTTACCACACACAATCTATATGAACATGGTCTGTTGCTTCCTTAAGACAGATGATAATCTGTGGACTTTGTGGTTTGAATGTCTCTGAGACCACCACGTCCCCATCCAAAGCGTCGACACATTTATTTTCGTACCAGTAGGCTATGAAAGTGGCCACTTCCCTGTAACACACCCCTCCCCCACCACCACCCCAGTTAGGGTGTTCCCATCTCTCAGCATGCTAGGTTCTTGTCACGGGTTTCCTCACCCAGTAACCAAGAATACAGGGAAAAGAAACTAAAAATAGTTTGCAGAAATGAAATAAGGACCCTTTGAGGTCAGTACTGCCACCATCACCCCCATTTACACCCACCCTTAAATAGCTTAAGCTCTTGATGCTTGTTTTGTTTCTAAGAACCTCTCAGAACGGAAAAAAAAGTCAGCACAGGAGCGCTGCCAGGCTGAGGAGGAAATAGATGAGATTCGTAAGTCACATCAGGAGGAACTGGACAAACTGCGACAGCTCTTGAAAAAGGCTCGGGTGACCACAGACCAAGCAGCTGCAGAGCAGGTAATGGGACAGTGGCACTTTGGAATAAAAGAAAGGTATGAAATGCTCAGTGAGAAACGCTTCGAGTTTCTCCCTCATCTTTGAGGATGACATTTTTGTAGTTGATGCTCTCACTTTGGAGAAAAGTGCAAGAAAGCAATCCAGGTATATGTAGAAGAGTCAAATCAAATAAAGAGTTTCTCTTTTTATAGTTAAGTGAAATTTATGAGAAAAATATGGATGGAAAAAATCTTTATTAAAAAAAATCTAGGTGGCCCTCCCTGGTGGCGCAGCGGGTTAAAGCACTGCACTTAGAATCTAAAGCCGCTTCCGCATGAATTCAATTCCCGCCTGCCCCGGAGATGACCACATGGCGTGGCAGACCTCTGCTGGCCCGCCCGCTGCTCCCCTTAGCAGTGTACTTCGTCCATCTGCCTGTTCTGTTCCCCATTCTGTCTCTGGTGAAGCTTCTCACTGCCCCTGAGCTTCTGGCCTGTACCCCAGTTCTGTATGCACAAATAAATAAATCTTTAAAAAAAAAAAAAAAAAGATCTAGGCCCTCCCTGGTGGCACAGTGGGTTAGGAAACAGCACTGCAAGCCAGCAGCATTTAGTTCAGTGTGAGTTCAATCTCCGCCCCAGAGGTGACCCACGTGGTGCAGCAGACCTCTCCTGTCTTGCCCATTACTCCCCCCAAGCAGTGTACTTCCTCAGTCTGCTTGTTCTGCTCCCCACTCTGTCTCTGGTGAATCCTCTCACCTCCCCTGCACCCCTGGCCTGTCCCCCAGTTCTGTATGCATAAATAAATAGATCTTAAAAAAATATAAATATATCCAAACATTGTAGGAATGAAGTCTTTAACCATGGGACACTACCTGCTAAGCACGTGTCTAGAAGCGGCCTGTTTAGGTGGTCAGGAAAAGAAGCCAGGGTGGAGCTGATAGTGCTGGACAGCTCTCTTTCTCATTGTGAGTTCATAAATTCTTGTCTGTGCCCACTCGGTGTCCTTGATTTGCTCACCTCTGGGAATTTTGACAAAAATAAATTTTGCAACCTCTCAAATGGTGAGGGCCCGGACCCTGGAAAGTAGGGTGGTGTTAGGACCCTGCCCTCAGGGGCCTATGGACAGTCACACCTTGTCCGGCTCCAGTGACTTTGGAAGTCCTGACAACTGGTGGCCTTTTCTTACTTCCATGAAAAAAATACATTTACCTTAAAGATAAAGTCTTTCAGTGTTTCCTTATCAAGTCTGGCCTGTTAGCTTATTTCTTTGGCCTTATGGAAGACAGGCTCCCCTAGACTTGACTGGACCCCCAGAACCTGATCATTACTTTTCCCTGGCAGCTCTCGCTAGTACAGGCAGAGCTGCAGAGCCAGTGGGAAGCAAAATGTGAACATCTGCTGGCCTCTGCCAAGGACGAGCACTTGCAGCAGTACCAGGAAGTGTGTGCCCAGAGGGATGCCCATCAGCAGAAACTGCTCCAGCTTCAGACAAAGGTAGGCGTTTCCCCGGGCCAGAAAGTGGAGGTGACCCCGCTTGGGGATGGGGCACAGGGCGTGGCTGAGGGGCCTCATGAAAGTCCTGGAGGTCCTTTTCTTTCCTTGAAATATCCAGTTGAGAGTTGACAGACGGCAAAGACAGCCTTATAGGTGGCTGCTGATGTCCACTGTCTGTGTCTGTGATTAAAAATCACAGCGCGCCCTCCTTTATATTTGTGACCTGATTAGGGGCAAGGCAGCCAACCTTGTTGGCAAAGAGGAAGTGATGTGAGTGAAGACTGAGTGAGGAGGAAACAGCCCGAGTCAGCAGGCCTGGGTAGGCGTGGAGCAGCAGGATGCCACAGACTTGCAGGAGGGAATGCTCGGAGCTTTCCTGATTTTCACCCATAGGCCAGTCTCCCAAGGCCACAGCCATGGTGCTTTTGTCTTGCAGTGTTTAGCCCTCGAGGCCCAAGTCACAACCCTGACTGAGCAAAATGAACAGCACATCAAGCTCCTGGAGAACAAATCCCAGGGATCTGGGATTGAAGCTGCTGCTGCTGACCCCTCAGAGAAGGTGAACTGTCACTCAGAGCTAGTTGATCGTGTGGCTCAGATTCTCCGTACATCTCTAGTGCACCCCCTGTCTGGCTGAACTAAAAATTAGCCCTATGGTGGCAAACCCAGAGGGCACTGTCTTGGGGGTTGGACATACAGGGAAGCACCTCTGAATCTCAGGAGGGCTGTGGGAGGGGACTGGCATCCTCCTAACCCATGGGGGTGTTACGCAGTGGTCTAGGTAGCAGGGGGCAGCTTCAGGCAGTTTGGGGCACACAGACCACAGCTTGCTTGCCCATGGGAGCCCTCTGTCAAAGTACTGCTCATCCCCAACATTGTCCTCTCCACTGTGGCAGCCTTTGGTGTCTCAGTTCATGACTAGCTGTGTCTTGCCCCAGAGTTCCAGCAGGACTTCCTTAACCTTCCAGACCCCTCAATGACTTGACGTTGGCAGCATCCATCTTGGTGTTTTTCTCCCCTGGGGTCTTTACGCAGGTGAAGAAGATCATGAACCAGGTGTTTCAGTCCCTGAGAGGAGAGTTTGAGCTGGAGGAGTCTTACAACGGCAGGACCGTTCTGGGGACCATCATGAATACGATCAAGGTACAGCTGTGCTCTACTGGAGTGTCTTGTGAAAGGCCTGTATGCAAGCCTGTTCATTAGTAATGGGGGTGCTTGGGTGACTTATCTGGGCTGGTGTGGGCAGCCTCCTGCGAGAGGAGGGAACAGAATCATTTTGAACTGAATGGTCAGTTGTATTAAGGAGGACTGAAGGCCTAGGAATGCCTGCTGTTTTCCTGTCAGTGATCCTGACCTCCTTTTCGGCTTTTTAACAGGTAGTGACTCTTCAGCTGTTAAACCAACATGATCAAGAGAAAGATGAAGGTAGCAATGAAGAGGAAGAAGAGCAGTCTCCGAAACCCTCTCAAGCGCAGCCCGCCTCTGCGAGTTCTGGGCTGTCTCCAGTGCCCCCGAATGGGGAAAGGCAGGAGTCACCTGCACTGCCATCCGGGCAAGAAGTCAAAGAAACTGTGTCATTGTCTCCCCAGGTTGATGTACATAGAAGAAAAGAGGAGCCATCAGAAACAGAGGTGCTCTCTCAGACAAAAGATGAAGCACCTGAACCGGCTTGTGGCCTCGTACACAGAGTTCCAGGGCCCCCAACCTCAGTTCCCCCTCAGCCTCCAGGCCCTGTCATCATTGACTCTGAGTGTGAGGAGACTCTGGCTGCCAGCCCAGTGGCACCTAAGCTTGACAGCCCATTGGGAAATGCCTGTGATGGGGAAGAATTGAGCACCAGAAAACTCTCCTTGACTCTAGGCCCCAAGGGGGAGGACCCACTAGCCGTAGGACCCAAATGTCTGGAAGGAGAGCCTCGGCCTCCAGAGCTCCAGGACGACAAGGACGCCACTTGCTCGGCTGGTCCTTGCAAGGAGCTGTCGAGCACAGAGGCCGTGTCTGCAGCTACAGGAGTAACCCCTGGGCCCAGCCACTCTTCTAGGCACCCCAGGTATGTTTCCCTGGGTAGTTTTAGGGAAAGGCATCTGCATGTAGAGGTGGTCTGGTTTTCTAGAGCTGGCTTCTCACTCCTCAGAGGCTGAATCATTCATTCGTCTGTGCATTTATTAAATGATACTAAATAGGCTCTGTGGTAGGCAGGGCAGACTTGGTTCTCCAGTTTGAGTCTCATGGCAAAGACAAACATTTTAAAAAGTATGATAAATGTTTTTATAAAGGGGTGTGTAACAGAATGAAGTAGTTATTTTATTTCATTCAGAGTAGATAGGGAAGGATTCTGAGGAGGTAACTTTTTAACATTTAGTATTTAACTGAAGGGTGGAATGGAAACTACCATGCCAGGGGTGGGAGGAAGAGATTGCTTTGAGCAAACGCAGCATGTGCAAAGATGGGAGGGAGCATGACACACGTGTGAAAGAAGGCAGAGTAAGTAGGCGAGTAGTGTTCAGCTGAAGTTGGAAAACAAGGCAGGGGTCAGTAGATTTTATGTCACTGTTGGAAGTTTGGACTTTACAGTGAGAAACCACTAACGGGATTTAAGCAGAAGAGTCATTTTCCTTTTTAATTTTGTATTGAGGCCTAATGGTTTATGACATTGTGATAGTGGTGTAAGATCACACCTCTCCAGACATATGCTACCACGCCACACCCACCGAGGTGCCCACTGGCCTCCACTGTGGTCCATTGGGCCCTTCATCCTTTGCTCTCTCCCCCCCTCTGGTGGCCTGACTCTTATAGTCAGAGTTCTAGACTGTTGTCTGACCTTTGGTTTGCTTGTGGTCCACGTACGTGAAACCATCCAGCATTTGTCTTTCTCCTTCTGACTGACTTAGCATAATCTCCACCAGCTCCATCCACATTCTTGCGAAAGCAAGAGTTCATTTTTCACAGTTGCACAGCTACACAGCTATCTGTGTTTATACTCCACATCTTAATCCACCCCCTGGTAGTTGTGTGTTTAGGTTGTTTCCATAACTCGCTGGCTACAGGTTGTGGAGGAGGGCAAGAACACTAGGAGCCAGTGTGGAGAAGGGAGGAATTCCTCAGTGGTTACCATAGCTGTTGGATTCCTATCGCCAGAGCCTGTGGGCACTGAGGCCTAGAGCCAGAACAACATTTTCTGTGACTTGATTTTCTGGATTTTTCTTTCAGTCTCTCTGGGGATGAAGAAGAACTGTTTCAAGGGGCGACTCTGAAAGTCCCAAGGTCCAAATCACAGCCCGAGGAGGAGGATGAAGATGAGGTGGTAAGGAATTGTCTGGCACTTCTAAGTCCTCACACCACTTCCAGGGGGCCCTTTCCTGCTGGCTCTGAGAAGAAAACTGGAATCTGTTGGTGGCCCACTCGGTGGGCTCTGTGTGCAGGGCCCTGTCAGCGTGCTTGGGGCTGGGAGGGGGTGGCTCTGTAAGCACAGTGGGGATGGTCAGACCCCACTTTCTCCTTGAAATGACTATAAGCCATTTGAAGTGAAGCATGGGCTGCTTAGTCCTACATTAAATTGCTAAAGCCTCAGGTTTCCTCACAGCTGTAGGGAATTTACATTTTAGAGTTGGAAAGACTTTGAAGCCGAATTTCTCAGACCCCCGCCTGAGCACTGCCTGCTTTCCCCAGGCTCTCCAGCCTGCTGCCTCATGCACTCACACCACATCCCTGGGCAGAACTGGGCGCATAGCCTCACTTTGCCCATCTTGAGTGCAGGCCGAGGGTGTGGGTCTCCGGTGAGCACCCCTTCGTGCATCTGCTGCATCTGTGCTGGGACTCCCCTGGGCTGCTGGGACACTTGGGCCGCCCCGGTGGGGACTTCACTGGGTGGAGGACACAGACCAGCTTCAGGCTGTCTCATGCAGGGAGAGAAAAGGGGGGGGCCAGTTGTGTTTCCCTTCGTGTGTCAACAAGAGTGGTTTTGCCTTTTGTCAAAACCTTGGAGAAATGGCTGTGCCAGAGCTGGGATCTAGCTGGCAGGAAACAGAACCCTTCCCTTTTCTCCAGTTTCCCGTTAGGCTTTCTTTCCAGAAATTAAATTTTTATTTTAGAACACTAATTATGAATTCTATGCCAAAAAAAGGAGGTAGACAGGTAACAGATATCCCAAAATGACTGCCTTAAATGGAGTAGGAATTTTTTAGTTAGCAGTATATTATTGGTATTAATATTAACACCATCAAGTTAACTTCTGTTTCGTGGGTACTCTGAAACCTGTTTCACAGACATTCTCATATAATCCCCCACTAATCCAGTGAAGCAGACACTTTTATCCCATCTTATGGGAAAGGGAAAAGTAATGTGTCAAAGGTTATATAGTTCGTCCAAGACAATATAGCTAGTAAATGTAGAGGCCAGAACATAACAGAAGCCAGAGGCCACATTTTTAAATCCCTTAGTGTCAGTTTAGAGATCACGACATTGATGCCCAGGAGAGATGCCAGGTCTGTAGCCAGTAGTGGGGTTGGAGTTTGTCCAGGGCCCTGACCACACCACATGGCCTCTCCCTTGGTTCTGTGAAGACTGCCCTGGGCCAGCACTTGCTCGCCAGAGCAGCGGCATTCTATAGAGGATGTTCACAGTGCTCGTCTCCAGCATTAGCCCTGCCACCCCGTGGGCCTCAATGGGATCCAGAGGGAGGAGTCCCCTGTGGCCCACCCATGCCCTCATTCCCCTGCCTGGTCAGAGGGAGTGAGAGGGGTGGGGGTGGGGGCTGGTGGGACCAGTGCTGTGGCCGCTGGGCATTCTTCCTCTCGGGATTCCCCTGGGAATGTTGCTGAGCCCCTGCATTTGTCACCATTTCATAAGGTGGGGTCAGGCACTGAGCATCAAGTGTTTTTTCACATGTGAGTATGTTGTTTCCAGCCTGTCACCTTCCTGCAGTCCTGCCTCACTTCTGTTCTTTCTCCCACTCTGCCTCTCCATGACGCTTGCCTTACAATGTTAACTGCATGAGAGAGAACTGTCATGTCAGTACATGTGCTTTACAAATAAATGACCCAAATAGCCAAACAAAGTTGGTCTTTTTGTCTGTGTTTGAAGACTGCTATTCCTAGCTTAGCCGGGAGCCACGGTATGCGCCTCAGGGTCATTCCCTGCAGTCAGCCCAAACCACAAGCGCCTTTGTGAACTGGAGCCCACAACAGACACTGGCTCACTTCACCTGAGAGGAGGGAAGTCCGTCTGACACGGGACTATTAAGGACTGACTACTCTTTCCTGTTTTGTCAGAGCATGAAGGGACGTCCGCCCCCAGCACCCCTTTTTGGAGATGACGACGACGACGATGACATTGACTGGCTGGGATGAAGAGCCAGGAAGCTGGTGCAGTTCTCTACCAGCCCCTCCCCTAGGCATGATTTTGCACAGCAAGCCCTGGTCTAGGAAGCCGGGGTGAGGTGAAGGTGAGCGTTGAGGACGGTGTTCCAGAGATCCCAGTTAGCCACCTTCCGAGCCCCGGCCTGGCCTAGCAAAGAGGAGCATCTCTCCCATCGCTGGGGCTGTCAGCAGCCTACCAGGGACCTGCCACAGGCCCCGTTTGGGAGGAAGGGCGGGTAGATTCTCCGCCGATCACCTCTCAGTCTTGTCCTCGTTCAAGCTTTTTCTTCTGTCCACTAACAGACTCCTCAGGGAGTCGTCTGCCCCCCCAGTGCTCAGCTGTTCCAACAGCAAGTCCTGTCAACCTAGGGTGAGCTCTCCTTGTAGAACCAAGGGTGGGCACACCCTGCAACCCGAGTTCTGTAGCAGTTCTGGGATATGTATCTTTTCTCTGCCTTAAACCTCATACAGAAGGTCAGTGAATATTTGAAACTAATAAAACTAAAATAAATGTCTGCAATGAAACCAGACTCAAGCTCTTGGGGGCAGGGGGTACTTGCTTCTAAGGACGCAGCTGAGGGCAGGGATTGGAACCACCTGGGTCAGTTAACATGTACAAAGCACTCTGGTACCTAACCCTGGAACTTTCATGCTCAGTCTCCAGCTGACCGTAGTGCCCTCATGGTCATCCAAGGACCTGACCTGTGGTCTGCTTGCTCCTGGCTGGCCTGCTCCTACACCCTAAGAAGCCGTGCAGAAAGGGTGGGGGGATCTTTCATCATCGTCCCTCATCTCCCTGAGGGATTTTTCCCACTCCAGAGCACTTTCCAGTTCCTCTGCACTCAGGGCCAGGACTAATGAAGAGAACTATAGTGAGACAGTATTTGTGGTTATTTTGCTTTACTCCAGAATTTTCCAAAGACCATAACCCGTTTTCAGAAAGCAGAATTTTAATAGAAATTGTTCCCTGATTTAAATGCACGTAAGCTAGGAGCCCAGATTCCACATCACCTGACCAGACATCTCTCCTGCTGGCAGCTTTGAGCCCATCTCCTGTGAGGGGGCAGGGAGCAGTGGTACCCCGTTATTAAACTTGGTGTTTGTGTTTAACTAATACAAACTGTAGTTCAGCACGTCGTCAGCAATCCTACAGAAGACATGACTGTCCCCATCTTACAGAAGAAGCTGAGGCTCAGGAAGTCGAGTAACGTATTCACAGTTACGTGGCTAGTAAGCAACGGAACAAGAACCCTAGTCCTGACCACGATTCCAGGTTCCCTGGCCTGAATAACCATCCCCGGGCTGGGGTAACAACAGTGACACTCAGGAGCTGAGCTCAACACGGCCGAGTCCCTGAAGCAGTGGCTGCCCCATTATGGTAAAACGGAGCACAAGCCTCTTGGCTCTACTGGTAAGAGCAGACACGAGGCCACTTGTCAGCTGGGTGACTGTTTCTGAGCCTCAGCCTCCTCACCCCAAAGGCAATGACAACAGCTTCTGCTCTGCCTTGTGAGGATTCAGTGAGTTGATACTGTAAAGTGCTTAGAACACCACCCAGTATGGAGTAAGCGCTATGTAGGCGTCGAAAAGAAATTCTGTGTAGGGAAAATGCCATCTCTGTGACGTGGCTCTGAAGAATGGTGAAATGCCCACTGTGTCTCACTGTACAATCAGTCCTGCTAGAGATTTGCCTTAAAAGCCCTCCACACTCTAAAAGCCTCATGTACTGGCATGTTTAAAGAGACCGTAGGAAAAGAAAAAGCCCTCTCGGGGAGGGAGCCGCGGCGGGGCAGGACCTACAAAGGGACGCGTGCGGCTCAGTGGCAGCCCGCCACTAGACGCCCACGCTGTGTGGCACGGAGCAGCTTCCCATTTCCTGAAGAACTGGAATATGGGGAGAGTGTACTCATCAACCCTATACTTCCTGGGAAACTTACTGTCAAATTAAAAAGTGGTTTTGCCAGACTTGCTCTCCCCTCAGGAAGAGCCGGTCTGGACAGCTGAGCCAACAGGGATGTTGACAGGCTACATGACGATTACTTTCCTCAGTGTGGCCCTGGTTCATTCAGTGTGTTACAAGAACAGAGTGACTGCAGACCAGGCTGGCATTGTGGGGTGCCTGCCTGTGGGCACAGCCTTTCAGGGCTGGGCTTCCCTGAGCACGAAACTGTTGTTCTCACAGCAGACAGACTCAGCCCTTGGCCAGCCACGCAGCCAGTTTCGTTCCCTCCAGTTGTTACAGGGGTGCCGCTGGGATTGGGACAAACAGAAGGCACAGACTACTCAACAGTGTGTTCCCTGTAGTTCCCAGGGCTCCAGGCCGCCTATTCTGTAGCTCAGGAGGCACCTGAGCACAGGTAGTCCACAGCAGCTGTTTCCTGCCTCTTGGGCTCTCCTGGCCTTTCCTCTAAAGAAAGGCTCAAAATCTGGAGAGTCCTATCCGAGTCTAAGAATGTAACACTTTGGTTTGACTGCTATTGCACCTTCCATCACTCTTCCCCAGGGCGTCTCAGCATGAAGGGAATGGAAACTTCCCCACCAGACCCTTGGCCAGAGCAGTCATCATAAAAGGAGGGCGCTGAGTTCTGAGTACCATTCAGTGCGTTCTCTGTTCTGAGGGCGCTAAGGCCGTGAGGCACTCCCCACACCCCAGGGAGGGCCCAGGGAGGCCTGGGCCTCTTCCTCCTGCAGACAGTGCAGCCCAATGGGAGGAGCTCACTCTCCGAATGCTCTTCAGCCCTCATTTTTGCACCAAAAAGGAAAAGAGGTCCCATCAGTTGCTGCCATCCAGCGTGAATAAAATGAAATCATTTCCTTAAAAATTTAGTATTAATGTGCAAAACTGCCAACCAGAGTTCATTTGGGAAAGTGAAAAATCATAGTCTGTGCACATGACCCAGAGAAGAGGTCATCTTCCCATGTTCCAAGGCAGAAGGGCGACAGAAAAGGAGCCAGCTTGGTCTCTGTCCCCCAGAGACAAGAGGTCCAGAAGTCCAGTGGAAGAGGCTCCTTTAAATAAGGCACACATCAGAGCAGAGGATCCAGGTTCCTTACTCTTCACCACCCAGACTTCATCTCCCTGTCTTGAAAATCTTTGGAAATTCTAAATTAAAATTGGAGCTAGTCATTGTAGACTCAGCGACCACTGCCCCTACGTTTCGTTCTCTTCTGGTCTCAGCAGCTCTAAGGCGCAAGGCTAAGCCTGGGCCCTATGCAGGCTGGCAGTGGCAGTGGCCTCTGAACTGCAGCTGGAAGTTTCCAGAAGCTGGGAGCACAGTGAGGAACAGCCGTCCAAGACAAGACATGGGCTTGGAGGTACAACATCTGGAGCAAGAGGCTCCATCCTCTCCAGCCCTCGACGCCTGCACAGCCCTCACCAGCTAGTCCGTGCCGAGAAATGGGTATGCTAGGTAGTAACCCACAGCCGAGCCCAGGACCACGCCAAAGAAGATCCAGGTGTTGTACGTCATGACAGCCAACATAATGAAGTAGCCGATGACCACCTGAGCCACGTGGATCAGAGACTGGCCAAAGTGACACAGAAACCACCTGGATGAAAAGGAGAACCAAGTTAATGTTGGTGATGAGCCGTCAGGGAGTAGGAAACTGCAGTTACAATCTTAGCCCAGGAGAGACTTCAGTCTGCCAGAAGCTGTCAGTAGAGAGGGGAAGGGACTTATACTAGGAGCCTTTCTGCTGAGTTTCCTGGCATCCTAGGCAAAAAGGAAGGAAGTAACCTATCATGCCGATGTGGGACAGGACATAGTCTGAGGCAGAGTCTCCCCCTCTCAGTTCACCCCCCATGTGGGAGGCAGTGTGCTAACGAAGAGCACGGACTTGGCCACAGATCAGTCCCTCGCTCTGCCACTTACTAGTTGTGGCTCAGCACAAATGTCTCCTCCTCTCTCAACTCTATTTTCTCATCAGTAAAACAGGTGTAAGAATAGTTTCCTGGCAAGGCAGTTTAGCTCTCTGAGATACTCATGTAGGTGGCTGGTGATGGGAGCAGGCGAGCTTATTCTGCACAGGTGAGGCTGGAGCTGGGGAGCCACGTGGTTGCCCTCTGAGGAGGAAGAAGAGAGGACAAGGTGCTCCTCCGAGGTCATGACTGCCGACAGCATTCTTATTTACACGGGGGCAGAACCCAGCCTGTGTCTGGAAGCCTTAGTGATGCCGTAGGCCCTGTGAGATTGGGAGAACCAGGGGTTCACCAGACTTCTGATGCACTGAGCACCCCGTGGCTATTCACACAGAGGTCTGGCTTGGACTTCAGGAGACCCAAGGTTCGGGCTCACTTTACGGCTTACAGAAATGCATGTACTTGGTCAGGGCCTGGTCCTCAACTTCCTTTCCGTGAAGTGGAGCTAGCTAATGCCCTCGGAGGCCAGCCCACCCCTCAGGGTGAATGTGAGGGCTCTGGGGGGTCCACACTTAGGCTGTTACCTGAGGCAGGAGCCGCCGGCTGGAGCTGACTCTGAGCCCACAAGATCCTGTTGGGACTCTTGGATGACCTGGGGGCTGTCGGGGGCGGACATGCCCACCAGAGCCCGGTGCAGCAGCTTGGCTTTGCCGACCTTGATCCCTTCGTACAACACAGCCAGGAGCAGGATGACCAGCACGGAGAGGGCCATGCCTGTCGAGGAGAGCTCAGCTGTGGAGACCTGGCTGGCAAGTGCTGCTCCTCTCCCAGCAGCTTCCTGTGACCTGGCACAGGAGGCAGAGGGCACCTCCAGCCCTATGGCCCTCTGGCATTTTCTTCCCCACCCTTGTCAGGCTCAGAGCTTTGCAGTCACTCCCTGGTCAATCCTTTCTCGGTGGGTTGACTTACTGCAGCATGGCTTTGCGAGCAGGTAGAGAAGCCCCTTGCTGAGGAAGGAGGGGACACCCCCCCTCACCCCAGCAGACAGCACAAATCTGTCCAGACTTCTTGCTAAGAAGAGTAGGTGTATGTATAGCACAGTTCTGTTTATTGGTATATGCACAGAAGAGTCTGGAAGGAAGGTGAGGGAGCCAAGTAGTTATAATCATTTCAGCAAATTAGCACACAGGAGGTATTACCTCCCTTTCACCTTGCCTCCTAAAGTTTCTTCTGTATGTTACTTTTATAATATGGAAACCCCAGTAAGTTAATTTATAGAAACCATTAAGTGCTCTCCAGAGCTGCTTTGTAAAGTTAACCACTGTTACTTTTATTTTACAAATGGAAGAGGAAATGCTCTAGCTACCGTATTTTATTGGCCTTCCAGGAAAAATCATCTGCAAAAGGTACAGGTTTTTAAAACAGCAAAACACAGGTAACTGCATGTACGTAAGATATATTAAACAGTGCAAACAGGTAAACAGTGGAAAGTAAGCCTTGTTCTCCATTTCCCCTCCCCAGAGCACCTTCTGTCACAGCAAATTCCTGGGTGGTGGCCCAGGGGTCCCCAAGGCAAGATGCCACCTCACTGCACCCCACCTGCTCATCCTACAGTGCCCACACGCCTGCCCTCAGGTGGCAGGCTCCATGCCCGTCTCCCCTCTAACCCAGGAACCATCCCAACAAGTACAGAAGTGGCATTGTGACTTCCAAGGCTAGGCCTTAAAAATCCCCTGCACTCCCACCTTGGTCTCCTGGACACTCACTCGCTCTTGGATGCCAGGCTCCCCGTCACGAGGAGGCCCAAGCCTAGGAGACACGGTAAGGAGGCATCCAACCAACAACCTCCACTGAGGTCCTAGCAGCCACCAGCAGCGGCCAGGGGACATGAGCGTGAGGAAGTCTGCAAGAGGACTCCTGCACCAGCCACTGTCTGACTTGACCTGCCTGAAAGGCTGAGGACCGCTTGGCTAAGCCCATAGAGCCCTCATAAAACGAAGGCTGTCGTTTCGAGTCACTAGGTTTACCTTGCAAAAATTATTGGCATGGCACCCGCTGTCGGGATGGCTGACATATTGATTGGTCAATCATATTGCTTGGTCCCTGCAATGATGGACATTTGACTAGTCTATTTTTAAGGCAGTTATTTAAGCTGAAATAGCTCAGTGCGCAAGTCTGTCTCTTAAAGAAAAACGCTTCTTGAAATTAGTTTCTCATTTGAGGTCCAAGTCTCAGCAGCTACTGAACAATGAGCCCTGAGTGAGGGAGGGGCCAGGAGGCAACAGGTTGCTTTGACCTAGTTCTGACTGACATTTCCTTGCTGTGTGGTCCCCGACAGGTCTCTTCTCTCGGGGCTTCAGTTCCCTTCTCTGTGAAAGGAAAAATGCTCATGGGCCTTTGTGAGGTTCTGTGAGATAATGGAATTTTAAATGCAAAGTTCTGCTCAGTGTTAAACAAGAGGCTTCAGGCCCCCTGCAATGCTAACAGGGCAAAACCCAGGCTTTGCAAGGCCTTGCAGCCACAAACCTGAGCTTCCCAATTCTTACCTGTAGGGCTGTGGACACGCCAGAAATCAAACAGAAGCACCACCTTGTCTGAGAAGATGAAATGCATCTGAAAGAGAAGGAGCCTGCATCACAGGGGGCTTAGGGCACTGGAAGTCACTGTCCCTGCTGTTCTCCACAGCTTTCTGGAAAGGCTCAGAAAAATGCCCCACAGTGGGTGAGCAGCAGCGCTGTAGCTGAGAGGCCCCGGCTCAGGGAGAAGGGACGTGTCCATCCTCAGTGGGCCGCCCAGGTTCAGGCTGTCATGGTGCTCTGGGCTCATCTGGAGATGCCCCCATGTGCCCTCCAGACCCAAGGGGAAGCACTAGACTGAGGAGCTCAACTGACTTGTTCTACCCTTTGGGCTCCAGCCATTCTGCTCTGGCCCCAGGGCAGGCTTCCCCATGGGGAGACCACATGGAGCAGGAAGGCATCCACTTCACCTAGGGAGACCCAGCAGCATTTATTAGTTGGGGATGGGGGAGCCCGCCTGGGGGGATGGTGTTCACTCTACATCTGTTTTCTCATTCACTAAACATTTGCTGAGCCCAAATCTGTGCCCAGCATTGAGGACAAAAGTGACCATCTCTGCCTTTGCTGAGCTCAAAGAGCCTGCCACCGGGCTTCTCACAGGTGATCTCACTGACGGTGGGACAGGGGGCCCATCCACAGGAAGGAACTGGGGGGGGGCTGGGCCCAGAGAAGTGAAGTCATCGCCCAAGTCACAGCACTAGTGAGTAGATAGCACCAGGAGACATCCTGGGCCTCCCGCGTGGCCTGGCTGCGATTCTGCGCTGCCTTCTCACTGGGGTCGGCAGGTTAATGACAGTGCTTGGCAAGATTCAAGTCAGTCCATTCACCCTCTTGTCACTAGCTAGGCCTTCAGTTGGCAGAGGTGGTTCTCTCAGTCAGAGCTCACCCAGCTGAGGTACGGGCAGAACTGGGGTGAGCGGGTGGAAGTCTTGGCCTTCTGAGGCAATGGCCAAACGTCAGCTACTGAAACATCGAGAAAAGGTCCTTAGGAAGGTTCGTTTTACTGAGATAGAGCTGACATGCAGTACCCACTACACGTGGCCCAGAATGACCCGAAGTTTGCAAATGTTGTCAAAGGATTCCCACAGTAAGTTACTGTCTATTGCCACACGTCGTTACGTTTTCACTCTTGCCATGAAAACGTAAGATCTAATCTGAGCAACTTTCATATGTACAATATAGTATTAACTATAGTCACAGTACAGCATGTCACATCCAAGACTTGTTTATTTTCTCAGAGTTCGCAGTTCCTGGCTTCCTACACGTTTGCCAGTGAACACTGGCAAATAAAGATTTCCTTGTAAGTCCACCTTGTAGGTTTGGCTCTGCTGAAACTCAATGTGAAATCCTCTCATCTGGTGCAAGCCAGCCCCTCTCCCCACTTCACATCTCATTTCCAGATGAGAAGATGAGTCCCAAAAGGAAAAGGGGGTTACCCAAGACCTCATAAGATAATGGAAACCTAGGCAGTCATTTAGAAAGCATGTTAAAAAATTTAAAAGTGAGAGCACCTTTTTAAAATCCCAATATGAAAAGTGGCCCTTGCTCAAGGTAGAAAGCTCAAACATAAGAAAAAGTAAGACTCATTGAGTCCTACTACCGAGAGATGTTCCTCATTAAGACAGCAAGCAGTATCTGCCGGCCTGGCAAAGGTTCACAAAAGGCTGAGGTGCATAAACAAACTGCACAGAGAACTCCCCGCTGGGCAGAAGCCCCCAGCACTGGAAGCTGCACCCCTATGCCCCTTTGCCTCTGAGTTCACTTGATAATGCAACTGGCATGACAGGAATGTTCCTGAAGGCTAATTCATCAGAAAGAATGCAGAACTGGGTCCCCTCTATCATCCTTGGGCTAGGGCCAAACTACTCTGCCATGGACCTGAACACCCACAGTGAAACTGCATCAACTAAACATTTACTTTCATTGTGCTGGGCATGTACACTCACTGGAGACAGACGAGTGGCAGTCCTTGGCCCCCGCGGAGTTAACTGTCCATTAGGTGGGAGATGATTACAGCAGGGTTATGTAGTCAGTGAGCAGGAGGCATGGGAAGAGGGGGGGCAGGCGGGGAAGGGTTGGGGTCTCATTCCTGGCCCAGGGCATGGAGGCCCATAGGAGATACCTGACCCAGCCAGAGCAGGTGTCTCCAACAGCTTCCCCAGGAGGCAGCCAGCAGTAGACTGACATCCTCTCTAGTCCAAGCCAAAAGCACCAGTCAGGGAGTCGGGTTCTACCTCACTAGGGAGCGAGGAACCCAGAAGGGACAGACTCCCCTAATCTTGACTTTTCACTAGAAGAAAAGATTCCAGAGGAAAAGATTCCAGCCAGCACACCCTGATTTGAGGCTGCAGTTTTCAACCTAAGGGCCTGTGGCTAGATAGGCAAGGGGCAGAGCTCCAATCTGGAGTCCCCCTTGAGAAACAGGCTTCCGGCAGCTGAGTTTAATTTATCTGTGTTCTCCAGACCCCACCCTGGGCAGGGGAGGGCTGTGGAGCGGAAGCAAGTAACCCCTGGAACAGTTCTCTTATCTTCTCACTTGGGGAAGCATACCCTTTGGTTTATAAATGAAGACGTTTTTCCTCAAAGACTTGGGGGGAGGGGGGAGGGGATGGTGGTGCGGGCGGTGGTGCGGTTAAGGTACCTGCCCTGCCCCTCGCAGGTTGGGAGCATTTCCCAAGTTCTTCCCATGTTTCCCCCTTAGAAAACTGGCAGGAGGGTGGGCACTTAATATAAAGACCTGTACTTGTTTCATGCATCCTAAATTCTGCAACATTCTTCATAGGGTGAAGAAAAAAAAAAAAAAGCGCACGATTTCTTCAAAGACCAAAGTGCCTGGCAAATTGTCTTTCTCCCCAGCGCAGGTGAACCGTGCCAAGAAAAGTAGTTCATCTGGAACGCTATTTCTGATCCCAAGTGCAAGGAGGACGGTACGAAGCTGGGTCTGTTCTCTCGTCGCCCTCCTCCCCGCCAGAGTAATCAAACCACGAACTTTTCGGAGGAGGAACTGGACAAGAGGTGTGTGCGCACTCGGGCTTCCCTAGAGCCTTCCCGGAATCTTCTCTCCAGGGCAGTGCGCCCACGGCAGGGGATCCCCGGACTCCTGCGTCTCCACCCACCTCGCCCCCACCCTCACCTGCGCCGCGGCAGGTCGGGCCGGACTGACTCCCTGCAGAGGCGGGCAAAGAAAACCCCAGAGCCACCGCCAGCAGTACAGCCCGCGTCTTCTCCCCGATCCTAATTCCCACTGTAGGTAAAACTGCCAACTTACGCCCCCGCCAGCCCTGGGCAGAGGCGCGGGGCCCCTCCGGGTGCCAGGGGCGGCCGTCCACCCCGCGTCCGTCTCCCTCGGCGGCGCGGGGACTCACCGCCATGGCCAGGGCTGGGGCGGGATCCCGAGTCGCCAGCGTCCTCACGCTCCGGTCTCCGAGCTCGGAGTCCGGCCCGCCGCCGCCGCCGGCGATCTAGCGGACCCTCGGGCACTTCCGGGCGGGAGGCGCCGAGGTCGCCGACACCTGGCGGTCCCCCCTTCCCCTTCGCCGCCGCCGCCCGGAGCATTGTGGGACTTGTAGTCCGGCGCGGGCGCAGCCTCCGCCTCTCGCCCGCGGGCGCACGTGCGGGCCTCGCGGGCTGGGCCCTGGGCTGGCCCCTCGCGTGGGGGTCGGCGCGGGCGGGACGGGAGACCTCCCTCGCCCCAGGGCGTCGTGGCGGCGGCGTCCACCCCCTCCTCCTTCGGCACTTGGGGCATCTGCCGCTCCGGAAACCAACGTCAGCCCGAGCACGTCAGAACTCCCGCGTTTGGAGATGAGGACTTGGGGGAGCGCAGGTGACCCCTGCCCCAGCCTACGCGCTTAGGTCGGCGTGGACGCAGGAGGCGCCTTGGAGCGCCCAAGTCGACTCTGCAGCCCAGAGACCACTATCCGTGGGCTGCCCCAGCCGACTGGCTGAGGGGCTGCCTGGCTCCCTGCCCCCCAACTCCCCACCTTGCGCCGGTAAGACTGAAGGGAGCGAGCTTTGGAAGCTGGTACAGACGCTGAGCCTTTATCCTGCGCTTAACAACTGCAGGGCCTTGGCCCCTCATTAAATCTCTTTGAACCTCAGTTTCTTCATTCTTAAAACAGATTTCATAAGGCAGTTGTAAGAAAGAAAGCGGGTTTTATTAAACAAGTGTGAGAACCGTGTGAGGGATCTGTCCCAGGTAGACATTTGCTCACCTGGTATTAGTAGACGCCCCCCTACTACCTAAATGTGGGCTGGTAAATTGGGTCCCTAGAAGGTTACTCCGTAAAGGCTGTTGTGCCCCCAGCCTGGCCTGGGCCAGCTAATTTCTGTGGGGTTTCTGCCCACCTTCTGGGCTCCCAGAGCCACGCAGATCTGCAGATCTCACATCCTGGCTGCCGTAGGTCATTCTGGAATTAAAGTAACGTCAGCCTAGAATTCAAACCCACAGCACACGCCTGCTTGTGGAAGCAAGCACTCCTTATGTTTGCCTCGGGAACGTCAGTCTAGGTTTATGACATGCAGAACTAATGTCCCTCTGGCCCTTCCTTCCCAGTCATTCACTATTGTACGAGCGCGCATTAAAGTGTAGTTTGTTGCAGGCACTGTGAGATGCAGGTACACCGTGGGGGACCAGACCCTGCCCCGGTGGCTTACATACGACTGGGGCAGGGGAGGGCAGACAGGTACCAGCCTGCCAGCACAAAAACGCGTGGGGGCTGCAGGGGCGACACATTTGAGTTCTTTATCCTCTGCGTGGCGGCGGTCCACTCCTTGCTGTCCATCCTGACCAAGCCTCTGGGGGAGATGCCAGGCGCTGCTTTAGGAGAGCTCTGGGCAAGGGGTTCTGCCCAACAACATACCCTTGATGTGACATGGTGTTGATTAGC